CCCCCCCCCTCCCCCCCTTTTTTCTTTTTTCATTCTAGTTGTCACTAACATATTTCATACTTTTGTCAAGATGACATGGGTCGAATGCAAAGGGGGAAAGGGCGAGTCTGCGACTCCCAAATCCAATGTTCATGGTTCTCACATTGTGTGCCAACGTCATTGACTATTATTAGTGGAACAAACAAATAGAGATATGGATCCGTTAGCACACCTTTATACTTGACCTAGGTGGATAGCATAGTGGGATAACTAGGTATGAACGGGGTAAAAAATAAGGACAAGAAAATTACGACATTAGATAATGATAACAAAAAAGGAAAAATAAAAAGCTTCTGAGATCAAATCAGATATGGAAAATACCTCATTCCACCTTAGATGATCTGGGACTATGACCTGTGCTAGACTGCACTACTTCTACTGATGGAGCTATCTATGCAGTGTGCGACAAGTGGCAATGATCGTTTGGGGGTCCGTCTTCTGTTAAGCTTTTAGGAGAATCATCCGAGTTTCCAGGGTTGGGCTCGTGATCATGGACGGGCACTAAATGGCCGAAGGGAGAACATTCGATGCATGGATTCCAGTGTACTCCGTACGCTCTAAGACGAAAAAGACCAAATCCTCCGACTTGACTATTCGGCATGCGTTTGCCGAGAGAAGGTGGAAACGGTGATCAAAGAGAAACTCCTGTTGTGCCGTAATGCCGTTTTATGCAAAGAGCAGATGTCATACCAGTAGTAGTACTCTGTATGTACATACTCTCAAAGAGTAAATGTATGGTATTGTAAGCATACCGATATATCTCTGTATGGGTGTATATCTTGTGAAATACAAAAGGTGTAAAATCTGGGTTGACCCTGACTACTATGTCTGGGAGAACAATTGTCAGGAGTCACCAATTCCTGATAACCCTAACCTACCCAAACAGGTTCTAACAATTAAGGTCTGCTACAAACCATACTTCTATCGAAAATCGACGGAGAACGGGGCTCCAATACTACTCGGATATACGGAGTCTAAGCAAAAATACAATCCGAACTGACGAAAATCGAACCTTGGCGTAATGAAAGAGAGAAAAAAGAAGAAGAAGAAAAAGATTTTTTTTTCCTATGTTGATGTAATCAATACTTGACTCAAACGAGAATTATTGCTGATTTAGGAAATCCAAAATATATGGAGCTAGGGAAGATGGCACCTCCGAGGTCCGAGCCAAGGCCTCCGACCCCGAGTACAAGTCCTCCCGCTTTACCCGCACTTCCGCGCTCCGTAGATGTGGTAACTCGTATCCGGTTTAGTCAACTGTTACTACAGTGAGATACTAGGTACTTGGTAATGTATTACTTGTCAATCAGTATTTATGTTACAGTGAGTTGTGCTTCTCAACTTGTTTGAAGATGGTCCTTCTTCCTTTGGAAATGTTTGTTGTTTTACAAAAAGCTACTGCAGTTCGAGCATCACGATATATAATTTAGCCTGCACAAACGAGACAGTTCGTTTGCCCTTTGACCAGAAGTAACCGTAGAGTCAGGTATGGACAGACGTACCATGTATTACAGAAGCTCCACCGCATAACCTACTGCACTAGGACGAGACCAATGATCGCCCATCCATACTTTGCTCTGCCTGGAGTGCGTCAGTAGGAAAACGGAGTACATACGTTCCTTCGTCAGGCTTTAATAATATTAATTAGAGGTAAGAACTAGATCCATTACAAAAGTAAATAAGAAATTGAGAAAAATAATTTTTTTTTTTCTTTTTTAAAAAAAAACCATAAATAAAAAAGAAAAATCATAATTGAAAACTTGAGTAATCACCCAGTAATATTACCCATCGCCATAGCCATCATCATCAATCAACCTACTCCAGAGTACAGATTAGTTAAAAGCAAGTTCAGACCCTCCAAAAGCCCATACTTCCTTCGTATTTCAGCGGCTACCATATAACTCTCACATACCTCTCCCCATAGTCACTGCAACCTTCGCCGTTCCAATTCTTGGTTCCAATCACTCTGGTCATTACTCATTACCTCGTCTTCCCATACTACTGACGCCTGGCATTGGTCCTTGATTTTGTCCACCCGTTGGCCTTTTCAAACTTTCTGCCTCCTTCTCCCCGACATCGTTATATCATCGACCAACCTTAACGTATTGTCGATCCCTTCTTGACTATTGCAACACCACAACGCAAAAGGATCCCCCAGAACGCGAATGAAGAATCACTGGAAGAATATCACGTACAAACTCAACTTCTAATTCCCGGTGGTCATAGGATTATTTTCTATTCTTTTACTTCTTCCAATTATCCTCTTGATTCATTATTATTACTATTGTTATTAGTATTCTTATCATCTCAATTTCTGCGGTCTTCTGTTTTCTACTTTTTACTTTCCGTCACCGCCCACATCTATATAGGTATACTACAACAATGACAGCACGCCAATCATCACCTACATCAGACAACTCTCATTCGGACAACAATGTTCGCAAGAGGGTATGTAAGGCATGCGATCGGTGCAGACTGAAGAAATCTAAGGTAAGCAAGTTCGAGGCCCAAGCATCAGCACGCTCTGATGCACTGACCGGTGCAGTGTGATGGAGGCAACCCATGTGGTCGCTGTAGGACAGACAATGCCATTTGTGTTTTTGGCGAGAGGAAGAAGGCTCACGATAAAGTGTACCCTAAGGGGTGAGCTTGCACCTGGCATTTATAATTTGTGTATGGTTTCTCCGCAGGACTTGATCGCTAACATTATCCTACTCGGGTGTAGATATGTTGAGATGCTCGAGCAACAACAAGCGTGGCTAGTTTATGGGCTTCAAGAGCTATATCGACGTACCACTGAAGGAGAAGGGTGGCCTGGGGAACCATTGAAATGCGAAGCCAATGGCCACCCCCTCACTCACGACCTGCTCACCCGGTTGGGCGCTTTGGACCAGAGCAAAGGCGAGCGTTTTGAGGAAAACACCGAGTCTATGCAGCAAGAGCTATGGAAGCAGAACGCAGGGCATATGCAGCGCCAGGACTCGTCAGACGGCAGTTCAGAAAGTGCACAATCACCCGTTCTTCCCACCCGTTTCCCAGATGCATTTGCGCGACAACCGCTTACTCCACCTACTTTCAGCCCTCCTTTGCGGCAAGGACCTACTATCAAGACGGAGCCTCAAATTGTGCCAAATACACCTAGCTTCATTCCACCGATGGCTATGCACGGGGACGTGGTCAACCCTCTCGCATTACAAGATCCGCAACAATGGTCGAACAGTCTAGGGAGTTTCGACGATATGGACCTTATGGCGACTGCCGATTACAACAACCTGTCATTCGATGACCCAGTCTCTTCTCCGATGTTCAATCGCCAAATTCCAATGAATTGCATGTCGTATATGGATGCAAAGAATGACTACGAAGATATTAGTCAATTTTTGAATGCGAATCCACCGGAAATAACGTCTAGCTGAGCGCACATATCGACGGAGAGTTACACGCTAGCGAAGGCATGGCTTTCTTCTGCTTCGACGATACTTGCATACGCCTATAACGTGACGCATGTACATTACACATGTTTTTTTCTTCGATTTTCTAAGTGTTGTGGTTTCTAACTGATATTATTTCTGGGTGGTGGCTCTTTTTACGATAGGGTTTGAAGGGTCCATCCTACTGTACAGTCTTGTCCATTTGTTTCGGGGTTCCTAGTCTCACATCGTGAATGCGACACTCGAATGAGATCTGACACAAACGCCCCTTTGGTGTTCTGGAGTTGGTAGGTAAAACATTGGCTGGGTTTATGGAGCTATGGAGAGGATTATTCTTCCCATTTTTATCTTTATTATTCTTCTTACTTCCTTCACGTGTGTATCGAGGGTTACCACTTAATTTTGTGAAATGGTCGACTTATTCGGCGTCCGGTTTGGGATGTCTTACATATCATGATATAGAAGCATGAACCGTGCAGTTCGGTCAATATAATTGTCGGACTCTCTTCACATATATCCGCTTGGGTTTCAAAGAATTAGTTCGACTATCTCATACTCCGTATAGGCCAGGAACAGGTGGAGACGTCGATAGTGGATGACTAATCGGCAACGGAGACATCGATGATTCATCTCCGATTCTTATCTCCGCCCCGCCTGTACATAGGTATTTGATGACGGTACCTCGATCGAAACGGCTTCTAGAGTTGAATGATAGAGCAGGATATTTTCGAGACGCTGGTAGGTACTATAGCTGGCCTGATCTTGTGATAGCAATTAGTAGCCAAAAAAAAAAAAAAGAAAGAAAGAAAGAAAGAAAGAAAAGAGAAGAAAAGTAGCTAACCTGTTCACAGAGCCACAGCTAGGTGGTGTATCGTATTTCGCTTTACTGTTACTTCTTCCAGTAGTACTACGAAGTTCGAAGGGTGGTTGGATCGTCAAGAACGAGAAGGTCAAAGCCCCACTCGTGGACCCTCTGGCACGGTGCCGGTCCAGGCCAACCGAACTTGTGAAAGAGGAAAACGAAAAAAGAATCATAATTATAATTCCGCTTTTAGGATAATTCCGTAACTGCCAAAATCCGAACGACCGAGCCGATTGCTGCCTTGCTGACACCCGGCTCTCTTACCTCTCTTGCTTCCATGTTGCAAATTAATTTTTTGTTTTCTATATTTTATTTTTATGGTTTCTGCGCCCTTTTTTCAGTACGTACGGAGTATTTCTTTTTGAACTTTCCGAGTCGCTTGCCTCATATGGGCTGGGTTAAACCTTGCTCTTCCTCCGTATCGTGGTGGAGTTAATTCTGGCCGCTGCTTTAGGTTTTTTTCTAGGTTCCTTTCTCGCTTGTCTCGTCCCTTCCTGTAATAATTATCACGTATCATCGAAGCCGCCTCAGATAGATAAGGTTGACAGAGACTAATCCAACCCCTTCTTTGCCCGCGCAAGGATGGGGCGTCACGATGGAGTAATGCTAGTGTCATCTGGGAGATGACGACCGATTAATAAGCGTTGTCGTTTGCTTTGAAATGAGTCAAAAAAAGTCACTCCGGATCCTTTTGTAAGCAACCAATCGGCGAGATAAGAGATGGAAGCTTCTGCCAGCTCACTCTATGATCCGGTATCCAATACGATGATAACCCCTATATAAACGCAAAGCGACGAGTCTAGGTGTCTGAAGCAGTGATAAAAATTCCATGGGGCGCAAAGCTTCTCGTGGCATTGGATATTGTCATTTCAGGTAATACGCATTGGCATGGATCACAATCAGCGTATGTACTATGAGGTGTAGTATGGAGTACATCCCACCGGCACTACTAACGTAAGGTTGGCGATCTTGGAAATCATCTAGGTTGACACTTGCAAGACCGTAGAGTTCTCCACAGACGATGGGGACATTTAGATTGGGTGACTTATATTTACACCAGACAGCTAAACACAGTATCGTATATACCCGAAGCATTGGGTAAGGCATACGGAGTACTGCGAACTTCGCAAGAACTACTCCGTACCATGAGACGGAGCCTTCTCAGGGACTCGGTATCGGCATGTCCGCGCCCGCGGGCCCCGATATTTCCGTTCGATCGGTATGTCTACGTTCCGAGACTCTGGGTCGAATCACTCGAGTTGTTACGGGCACGACAATCGTCCTTGAGGCTAAATATGGGATTAGGGGCTTAGGTCATGGCGGCAATCTAGAAAAATGGATGCTCCACAAATGCTCCAGGAAAATACAAAATAGGGCACAAGAAAGAAAGGAGAATCTTTTTAGGCCCTGAGTGTTATCTATGTAATTCACAGCCTCAAATTTTTGTAACGTAACATACCTCGTGAACGATGTTGCTGGATATGGCGCCTTGAGATCTATAAAATAGAAGAAGTCTCTTTTCATTATCTTGAGGACTGACTCTTGTGATATGGTGGTCTGAACACGGCATCATTTGCTAACCGATGTACCTGGTAGGCATATCGCCCTTACGACGATGTAGGAAATTAAGGGAGTGGTTCAGCATGTACTCAGTATGGACGTACAAAACAGGCATCTGAATATGTCACCTTTTCGCTTTTCAACCCGCACTACTCATCCACCCATTCTACCCTATCAACCATTCGCTTATATACGGTATGTAGATCGTGGAGTACTATGTACTATATTGACTTTATTTGAACTTATAGGGCAGAGCCGCAAACAATATACATCGGTGCCTCGAACCTACATCCAACAGGTGGATTATCCGGGGTAGTGTCGAAAGAGGGATACTTTGTAGGCACACAAGGGCAACACTGCAATCCATTAAAATAGTACCAATTGCTTTTTTGAACAGGTCAATTGCGGCTGATGGGTATTGGTGGATTATCCCCTTCTCGGTTAAAATATCAATATGTGCATCTATCTCGGGTCATTATGGCGTCGGACTGTGTAAAGGGGCTTCTGATATTAGCCTAAAGGCCTTTGGGACAACTCCTGCGGGGTACGGAGTAGTGCCCCTCGTTTATATTTGATCTCCCCGTCCTGTTCAGTTGCGCCCATCAACTCACGCAATTAGCTACTGTCTCCGAAAGGGTACGAGGTGTCTTCAATAGGTACGATTAAGACAATTGATACACCGAAAATGGCCGATAAATCATCAGTTAAATTCACATCCTTGGGCGCAATCATCCAAGAGCTCAACGTGGATGGCCAGAACATCGTCCTGGGATTCACTAAGAAGGAACTCTACGAGAAATACAACACCCCTTGGTTTGGCGCGACCATTGGTCGCGTAGCTAACAGAATCAAACATGCAAAAATCCAAAATCTCAACAACCAAGAATATGAACTTGAGAAGAACGATGATCCTAACGCGCTGCATGGAGGTAGCCGTGGATGGGGTAGGCAGGACTTTGAGGGCCCTACGTTACTGCATCGAAGCGGGAAAGACACCTTACTTTATACCTATACGAGCCCCCATCTTGACGGAGGATACCCTGGCACGGTAGAGATCAAAGTCTTCTATACGGCAAGCAAAGAGGACAACCGTTCAGTGCTTTCGATCGAGTATGAGGTTGAAATGGTGGGTGATGAGTGCAACGAGACGATCGTCAACGTGACCAACCATAGGTATGTACCAGATGGGAGACTTGGGACAGACGTGAATTGCGGTTCACTAAAAAGTAATGATGGAGTATTTGCTAAAGAGCTACATTGCTATAGTTATTTCAACCTCACGGGCGGCGAGACCATTGACGGCACCTCAGCTAAGCTCCTTTCTCAGCACTATCTGCCGCTCGACAATACCGGCATCCCGTTTGGAAGGATCGACGTACATCCTAGTAAAGTCACTGAGCCATTCACAATCGGGCCGAACAAAGAAGCTTTTGACGATGTCTTTGTTATGGATCGAGATGTCGCTGGGATCCCGTTGGATACGCGTGAGAGACCGCTCCAGCTACTCGCAGAGTTCCACCACCCAGAGTCGCGTATCAATCTACAGGTACACAGCACTGAGCCTGCGTTTCAGTTTTATACAGGCCAAGGAACCAATGTAGCTGCGGTTGACGGCAACCCAAGTCGAGGCCCGTTTTCCGGCTTCTGCATCGAGCCCAGCCGGTTTGTCAACGCGATCAACGAACCGGATTGGCGACACATGGTTGTTTTGAAGAAGGGTGATAAGTATGGAAGCAAGATCGTGTATAAGACCTGGAAAGACCCGCAATGAATTGCCGGTTCTAGAATATTGTCATGCCACCGATGTGGAACCGATTTTTTTTTTCCTCTCTTTCTTTTACCTCTTCGGCGTTTGCAAAATCATCCGATTGTCACATGATGTGCCGATTACCCTTATCACTCTTAAATGTATACGATGCATTTATCATCAAGTTCCAGCAGTCGTACGCTCCACAGTAAATAGATTTATGAGTCGTCAGTGGACGAGGTCTCGGCCTTGAATCAAGAAAACACTCCACCAAGGGGGATTGAATAAAAACAAAAATTTCCCACCCTCTTTTCTAATTCCATTTCCCTTGTAAATTTGTCAGCGCTGCAGCGTGTCACTCCTCGCCATGTGCATTTGCGTGGGTGCGGTTTATTTTGGATCATAATGGTTTCGTTCTGTTCTGCAGGAGGGAATATCGCTCATTCTTCCAATTTCTCGACTGCCAAGAGTTTCTGGAATTGAGCTATTGCTTCTAGCGCCCCTAGAGTACGCTTGCTATGTTTGTTGATCATCTCAGTAGTTCGTTAGGGAATGGAGCAATTTATGAACATTATAGGCTATGGTGCGCTTGAGAAATAATACCTCAATCAACATGAAACCCATCAGTATTGTCAAGCACAGTAAGTACGGCGTACTGTGTACAGTGTACTGTACACAGTACCAGCCGCGGATCTGGGAGATGCCGTTTTTGGCCGTGTAACGATACGTTACCACTTTGCTCGAGCTTTCGGACTCGGAACGGACAACAAAACTTACCGACGGAGCTTGGCAGCGATAAACTTCCTGTTTGGAGGACGGGAGTACTGAGTAAGTATACCGTAAAGTATAAGGTTCTCCTGAATTAACCAGTATTTTGGCAAGATATTCTTGGAGGGATCAACTTCTGTAAATCCGTAACTCCGGCTATTGAAAATTAGGTCTATCCGGCTTAAAGATTCCTTCCCTTGTCCGAGACGCCAAACTGGGAACGACTACGAAGCAGGCGCAACCGCAAATAGCTAAAGGAGATACGAACCGCTTTGGTCACAAGGTCGGGCGGGAGTTGATGTTTGAAAGTATTGTGGCTGATTTTACGTATAGAATCTATGCATATTAGCGTTGTTGTTTATTTTACCCCGCAATTCTGTTTGGATTGAATTAATACGGAGTACAGTTATGTACATGCATACAGGGAACAAAATAACCAAGTTAACATTTCATTAAGCTAATCCTTCATTCACCATGCTGGGGTGATTATGCAATATCTATCTACACACTCACTCTCACACTCTCTCTTCCTCTCCGCCAATGCAAATGAAAGTTGAAGCAATCATCTCACCAGAAGCTCAATGCGCCTCGATCAAGTATTCTTGTTGCCTACAGACGGGGGCAGTGCGACCCCACATAACTCTTAGCATTGCGTTGGCGCGTCTTGGAAAACATTCGCAGATGAAATGTCCTGCGAGATAAGGAGTCTCTTAAAGATGGCTGTGCTCTAGGGAGGAGCCTCGTTTTGTTTATTATACAAATACGGAGTAGTTCTAGGACTGATAGATGTGTGGATGTCATATGCCTTCGTATTTTCGCAACGCACTTTTCTTGTCGCTGCCTAATTATCACGGACTGTGTATTTGTACTGTACATACATACGAACGAACATGGGAATTAACAAGAAAAGTACGTTTGCGATGGAATTGACAGATACGGCTCTCTAGTCTCATAGGGTAAGTAGCGCGAGCGACCTATTCTTGGGGTTTAGTATGTATGTATATTGTACTCTGTACATCAACACATACAGCGATGACCTCAAGTCCCCTCCTTCACGTGACCACCCCGGAACGTCCCGATTGTCTGCCCCGCGTGGGGTTTGATATCAACTTCCTCCCTTGTGCTTGATTGGATTCCCATCCTTCCTTGGAGATCCATAGTCTATCTCAATAAACATCCCACATTTCAGGAAGACGAACACAAAGCAATGGCTTCTGCTTACGGGGACTTCCGTCACTTGCTACCTAGCAATTACAAACGCTTGATCACCTCCTGGCTCGAAGAGGACTGTCCCAGTTTTGACTATGGCGGTTTCGTCGTCGGGGAGTCGGACGGTGAGGCAAGGTTGTTGGGGAAAGCCAAGGTAACCCTCGCGTTCCGCAGATGCATGAGGAATATGTTTTTCTCGAAATACCTATCATTGCGTGCTAATCCATCCCCGTATCCATAGGGAGTCGTTGCAGGTGTCCCTTTCGTCGATGAAGTTTTCGCTCAGTTAGGATGCACGTGAGTCAATACTACACGACGCTGGACCTGACCTGTACCGTGCGATCAATATCTAAATGGCAGAAAAGAGTAGAATGGCACGTCCAAGAAGGCGAGTACATTGAACCTATCAAACATTGCGCCACCGTGCGCGGGCCTATCCGCAAGATCCTCCTCGGAGAACGTGTCGCCCTCAATATCCTCGCTCGGTGCTCCGGTATCGCAACAAAAAGTGCCTCGCTAGTAGCTGCTCTCCGCACCCACGGTTGGAACGGAACGCTTGCTGGCACCCGTAAAACCACGCCTGGATTCCGCGTGGTCGAAAAGTATGGAATTCTTGTGGGAGGTGCTGATCCACACCGCCATGACCTCAGTTCGATGACAATGCTAAAGGATAACCATGTCTGGGCCTGTGCGAATAACCGTGCGGCTAAGGATGGGGCGGGTTCTGCTTCGACCGAGTCCGTCGCGGCTGCTATACCTCGGGCGGTCCATGCAGCTAAGGTAGCTGGAGGCTTTGCGACCAAGGTAGAGGTTGAGTGCCGAAGTGTCGAGGAGGCAAATGCGGCTATTGAGGCCGGGGCGGATGTGATCATGTTGGATAATTTCACACCAGACGGAGTTCGCGAAGCAGCTAAGCAACTTAAGCAAGGTTGGGCTGGCACGAAGCAGCCCTTCCTCATTGAAGTAAGTGGTGGGTTGAACGAGTCCAACGCTGCTTCGTACGCATGCTCGGACGTCGACATTATTTCCACTAGCTCGATTCACCAGGGTGTCGGCATCGTGGACTTTTCTCTCAAGGTTTCGCTGCGGTGAACACTGTGATTGAGGTTTGGATACACGGTAAGTAAAATAGCTGAGTGACAACGTCATGTGTAGATGTGAATAGACAAAACTATGTATGTACTTTGTCAGCACGTTCCCACACGACTAAATGCCAACACTGGCGGTTGGTCTCGCCTTGTGAAACTATCAATATACCCGATACATGCAATGTTTGTGTCCCTATCAACCCTACAATGCAATGCACAACGATTGTTTAGTGGGCTCGATTACGCCCTCATAGGTATAGCGGCCACGTGGTGAATTTGAGACATTAAAGTACTTCTAGTCTAACTTCATCCCGCCTAACTATCAGTCCCCCAAACTAAGTACGAAGAGCACTATATAGCCTAACCCCTGGGGATTACCCTACCGAGTAGTGAATAATTTCCATGAAAACAGAATCGTTTGTGGCGGGCAACATGGAATCGGTTAGGATATTAGAAGTTAAATAAAACGAGAGCCGAAAGCGATGGGTATATAAAGTATACAAGAATGAACACAGAGAACCGGGATCAACATGAAGTGCTTAGGGTAAAACAGAAAGGTTCCTCGGGATGCAAAACGAACTTGAGAACAAGACTGGCATGATTCTGAATGGAACCGAACGAGAGAAATGGACCAAAAAAAAAAAAAAAAAGAAAAACGCGGGGAGAGGTGTTTAGCCGGAGACCAGGAGGGCACTTCACTAAACCTCAATATCAACACATATCCCTTCTCCATCACTCGAGCTTGGGTCATCATCCCTGTGATTACCGTATCCGCCACCAGAGTCATGATCAGTTCCTTGAATCATCCTTAGATTTTGCCCTCGAGCCTGACCAGCGTTGTTGTCAACAGAATAATCCATTGACATGTCTTTGCGCACACGCTCCCTCTCTAGTTGGGCTCGAAGCCTTTGGTTTTCAGCGTCTCGCTCTTCAAGTCGCTTGCGAGCCCCGTTACGATCTAGCAGGCGTGCTTCCCTTTCTTGCTTCAGTCTTTTCTCCAGCTCGTGCAAGCGCTGAATCCATTTTTCATTATTCCCTTGATCGCCTACCGCGCGTCTTGTGCGGGAATTTTGCACCATGGCCCCAGCACTGTCGGCAAGTGTCGTGGTTGAAGAGACATGGGATGGTTGAGGCATACCGCTGGTTGAACTCCGCGTCAAACCCCGAGAATTAGGGGGGATGGTGGGCTTTTCAACCATTGAATTATGACGAACCAAGGAAGTTGGATCTACGTCCGCCCCAGATTCCATGCGTGGAGAGCTCGGCCCCATCCCGGCAGGGCCGCGGCTGCGCGAGTGAGATTGTAGCAGGTTCAGCTCAGCTTTCAACAACCGATTCTCCCCTCGAAGCTTGGCCATCTCCGGCGACAGGCCAGATTGGCCTAGCTTATGTTGTTGAGCACGAATATTCATCATTGACTCTTCTAAACGATCCAGCTTTTTGATCCGTAGGCTCAAGGTGTGCTCGACGGTCTGATATTGCTTGGTAAGGTCACGTTCAACGCCCTTAATGCGATTCTTGAAGCCGGAGATCACGTTCTCCAGTGTCTTTACAGCAAGCAAAAGATTGCGGCTGAAGCCCGGCCAGAAGAGGATGTTGCCTATGACCTCTTGACTTGGGAGGTTGCCGTTGATTAAGCTGTTAGAGTGCGCCCAGTCCGGCCCACACATCGCCGACAAACGTTTCCAGATCATAAGCAGCATCGTGTTCCGCTCATTGAGCTGATCTTTGAATTGTTGCTCGAGATTAGTAAAGCGCTTGCGATCCTGGCTGCGGGCATTTTCTAGCTCTGTGATACGTGAATTGTTTTGGGTGATGGTCCGAGATGCTTGGTGGTGAGATTTAAGCGCCTGCTCAAACGACTGTTTATCTGCCCGGCGAGAATGTCGCTCGCGTTCGAGAAGCTCAGCTAGCTTCCGAGACTCCAACCCGTGGCTCTCAAGTAGCGCATCGCGGTTTCGCAATAGTGACTCGGTCTCGTCTAGTTTAGAGCGGGTACTTTCGAGTTCCCAAGCAGTCGACTCAAGGTTCTTTTGAAGCTCCATGATTTTGGAGATCAAGCTAGAGCGACTACCAGTCAGATCACCTAAAGTCTCTCGAAGATTGTTCTCCAAGTCCATGAGCCGCTCCCTCCAAGTATTAGTCTCGATTTCTTGAGCCGATAGACTCTTCTTGAGTTTGCGAGCCTCCTCCTTGGCAGCAGATGCTTCTCGATTCAACTCGTTGACGATTCGCTGGACTTCTTGCTTCTCCTTGCTTCCTACGACCTCCCGCTGATACCGCTCTTCTGTCAGACGTTCCTCAAGTTCTCTGGCCTTGTCCTTTTCGCTTTGGAGGCTTATCTGGTATGTCTTTAGATCTGACTCCAGGTCACCGATTCTGATCTTATCACCATCTTGTTCTTCTCGCAGGAATGCAATCTCGTTCTGACTCGATTCAATTTGAACTGTCAGTCGCTGGACCTTCGTGTTTGCTTCAAAGAGACTTTTTTCAAAAGACTCCATCTCTCGATTACAATCTTCAAGCTCCTGTTGGACAGCTTTATACCGTTGCAAATTGTTTTGTGCGTCTTCTTCAAGTCGGATGATGCCTTCGCTGGCTGAGCGCATTTCTGCCTGCAGCGCCCGGAGATTCTCATCTTGAATCTTCAACTCCTCACTTAATCGCTGGCACTCTTCGGTCTTCTGATCAAGCTCCTCGCCAAGGGCATCCAGCTCATCTTGGGCTTCAGCCCTCAAGTCCTGGAAAGCCGCATTATGTTCATCCGCCATCAGTAGTGCACGGTCACGTTCTTGCTCCAGGTTCTGCAAATCTTGCTGTAGCTTTTGCATTTCCTCCTCCGCTTGATCCATGTCAGCTTGATATGCTTTATCGAAAGCCTCGACTTCTTTGCCGCGCTCTTGGTATGCTTTGTCGAGTGTTTCCAACTCTTTCTTGTACTCATCCAACTCCCTCTTATACTCCTCCAGCTCCGTTCGAACAGCTTGGTTATCAAGTTTCAGCGCAGAAACCTGATCACGCAACTGTCCGTTCCGGACTTCCAGATCTTCTCGTTCCGCGTCATCGCCTGGGTATGGAGCAGTTCCATCACTCGCTCGAGAAGATGGTCTACCGTGAGCTCGCGAAGCGGACCGATCAAAGATGCTGTCCCCAGCAATGGAGCGACCGCCGTCACGCCGCTGGCCAAGCTTCAGCTCCTCGATCTCTTGGTAGAGACGTTCTTTCTCACGATTTCGAGATGTAAGCATCGATGTTTGAGCACTGACTTCTTTCCTCAACTCCGCATTTTCTTGTTTCAAGAGCTCCAATTCCATTACCAAGGTTGAGCTAGAGGAACTGCTGGGGTTTGTATTGCGATTCAACTCTCTATCGGAGACAGCAGAGTACGAATTCATGGACTCTACCCGGTCACGCTGCGTTGGTCTTGTGGAGACTATTATCGAGCTCATTTCACTCTTGAGGCGTAGCGCATCGTCTCGTAGCCTTTTGTTCTCCTCCTCTGCTTGCTCTCGAGCAGCCGTCTCTGCTTCGAGCATGTCTTTCCACATGTCCTATAGCATTCAATTCAGCACAAAGGCAACCAAAACTTAGAGTAACCTGCACTCACCCTCTCTTCCCTTGCTCCTACATCCGAACCCATTGGTCTTCCATCATTGAGTGATTTAAGAATTTCTGCCAATTTCCTCTTCTCGCTTTCTCTGGCAATACTTTCGGATCTTAGTCTCTCAATCTCGAGCTCATAAACCTCTACTCTCTCCCTTAAAAATAGTATCTCTTCTTCTTGTGCTGGTTCACGACCATCGTCGTCAGATCCTTCAGGATCGTGATTCACCATAGATTCCTTGTCAGACTGTTGGTCTTTGAGCTGCTTCTCTAAATCACGGATTTTCCTTTTCAAAGTTTGGCTGTCTTTCTGAAGTTTCAGTTTATCTGACTTTAGCTCAACATTCTCCGAAATCATTTCCTTTATCCCTTCCTCGGAGCGGCGATTCAATGCCTCATTGAGAAAATGAATTCTCATCTTCAAGTCAAAGTTCTCTTTGGAGAGACGATCAATGGTGCTGCTTTGCTCTTTGAGAGTCATGGACCGACCACTCCTTGCAAAGGCTGGAGTGGCACCTGCACGCTTGTCCGGTGATAATCCACGGCCAGCATAGTCTTCTCTAAATTGCTTCACAAATGTGCTTGGTACCTGGACATCTTTGACATGTTCTGCAATGGCCGTATCTGTGGGGAAACTGATATCCTGCGCTTTGGCTTTAGGTGTCATTAGCCCGGTAGTATCTTCAGTCATAGGCTCCTCTTGGTTTTGTCCGTGCTTTTGCTGGGATGACCCGGGGCGTGACTGTAAAGGTGTTTCCTCCTCATTTAAGGTATCTAAGCCACTTTCCGTAGTGCTGCTAGGATTTCTCTTATCGAGGAGATTTTCATCACTATACCCAGAAATACCGGAAGCCATACTCCCTAAACTCACTGATCTAGCCAGGTTGTTACGCTGTTCATGTTGCACAGTGCCAGCGTTACCTGGTACTGCACCTCCCGACTGAAGCGCGTAGTCAGCACCCAATGTTGCATCACTATTCGTCATTTCTGTATTGTTGCTTGTCACCGAGGAATAAGAGAGACGGTGGGCTGACTGGCGACTGGTCAAATATTTCGGTCTATTCCCTCTACGGCTGCTTGTGCGTGAGACCGCCTCCACTTCATAGTTGGCATTTCCGCTGAGGGGTCCTGCCTGCGAAGGAGAAAGGCTCCCCGAAGCCGTGCGAAAGTCCTGACGAGCTGGCTGTTGGGTTTTATTTAAGTCGGATACAGGTGGCCCATCCGTTGGCTCCTCGAAAAACTGGCCAATTTGGAGAGGACCTTCAGATGATGAGAGCTGATTCCGATTTACAGTCCTAGCCGCCGCTTGTGCCGCGGGTGATGACTGCACCGTCTCTAAATCCTTCTCACTATTTTCCTGCCACTCGGAGGGGGGCGCAGGGGTAGTCTCGGAGTCTACAGTCATATCCTCCTCAGGCCTCAAACTGGGGGTTTGTGGTATCGGAACGCCATCATAGGTTGAGGTAATATCATAACTTGAGCCATCTGGTACCACAAAGGACGACTGAACATGGCCTGGCTTGTCGAATTCTGGCGCGCGCTCATCAACTCCAACCAGATAGGTATCGTCGGCATTCGAGTGCTGGTTCCTTGGGACAATTTGAATTGTTGAGGGTTCCGGTAAGAAACTTGACTCCATGTCCATTAACTTTCTTCGCATTTCTTTCTCCTCCATCAAGGTCTGGTTAACCATGCGCTCGTGATCACCGTCATCGCTGGACAGGAGTAAAAGACTGCTGTCATCGTTATCGGGTAGCGGAGGTAGATTTAGGGAAGCATTAGAGTCGTCAAGATCCTGCTGCTCAACAGCAGGTGTAGATCGGCCATCTCGTTTCGCGTCTGCTATTGTTCCGTCTTGTGTGTAGTGAGCTCCACCATCTACACCGGTTGTACTCGAGTTTGTTAGGAGGTGTTCTCTCCGCGTGTGCCCCTCCTCCATTATATCGGTCGCGTAGAACTCGTCCTCCAGGGACAAAAGTTCGTTTCCAGTATCTGAGCTTCTTCCAACTGGCGAGGAAGATGGCGGTGAGAGCGCAGATTCAATCGCATTGAGGGTACCGAGAGGAGATGGCAGTTGAGCGGACCCTGTCGACATGGTGACGGAGTCTGGGCACCGTGTTTGTTTTCTCCACTTCCACCTTGAATACCTAGAATCCTAATGGCGAAAGCCCGGCTTTATTGACCCACTTAACTCGGTAGCCTTAGCGTGATCACCTAAGTTTAGACTTCTGCTGGTCCTGCTTTCAGGCCCGGCAACTCTGAAGTAAGTTTATTTCGTCTTTTGCCCTTCAAATATTTCGATGGCTTACGACTCTGCTCAAAAAATAAAAAGAACAAAATTAAAATAAAAATAAAAAGAATAAAAAGAGAGAGAGAGAGAAAGAAAGAAAAGAAAAGAAAAACGTGCCAGGATTGACTGTGGCGGAAGAGTGCATTTTATTCGAGAGGGAAAGGAGCGTATCAGTAAGGAGCCAATCATTAAGTTCCAAATTCATGAGCACCAATGGTTGCACCAGTACTACTAGTACGTACTACAAAAGAAAACTAATAAGAAAAAAAAGTGCGTATGATTAAATTATAAATATCTACACTAGATAGATAATCACGCTACTTGGACTAGTAATGCTATATATATCCACATCAAGAGGAACCAAACCAAATGACACTCGTCGTACCCATAACGTAAGTCTCGTAAATATTTCAAAAGGAAGGAGAAAAGCAGGATACAGAAGGGGAAGGAGAAGAGTGACAGAGGAAAAGGAAAGCCAACCATTAGCAAGAGATGATGGAGACTGGAAAATGACATATAAGAAAGCGCAAGAGAACGATCAATGGTTGGGGAATCGCATACACACGACTCCATTCAATCCATGAGTGACAGTTGGGAGAAAGGCGTGCCATGTATTCTGCATTCACCTGCACTGATGGAAAAATTTATTTATGTGGAAGGTGAGCTCTCCTCGCGGGAAGCATATATTTTGTTTTTGAGGTCGAGTGCCCTTTGTAGAGTCTCAATATATGTGCGAAACTTCACATTTTCTCGCAGCAAGTACGATGATTTACGCTCCCAGTTGGCCATGGACTTTGTGGCATTCGGATGCCTGGGAGAAAAGGCCAGAACCATGGCCGGTCGGAGCTCATTATGTCGCTGTAGTTCATCCTCAACATTCTTGACATACTTTCGCAAAGCCTTCAGTTGGTCAGCTTCAGGTAAGTTTGAAGCGACCATACTCTGCTGGGGCGGAGCCCAGTCGCTGATGTTTACTCGATCGGCTGGAAGCCTGGGTCGTACACCGCCTTGCTGGTCAATAGAGCTCCGGATAGAACTTTGAATGCTAGGTCGTGCCCCAGACGAGGACGGTGGCGACCTATTGTTGTTGTTGTTGTTCTCCGTCGTTATCAAGGCACTGTTGATGACCGTATCACTCCAGCCGTACTCCATATTGCTAACTCCACCAACCAAAGGCTCTTTGGATAACCTCGCACTCCAGTAGTTAGCTGTAGAGACGAATTCATGGACGATCTCCGGAGTGCCAGCCTGAAAGAGGTGTACCGCGCCATTAGGTAGACTCAGAGCCCAGACGTGCGGGCGGGACTTAGAGTACCCGGGGGATGGAAGTACGCTTGCGAGGGTTTGACGTAGGAGAAATTTCCTTATCTCCTCAGCATTCTCTGTCCAGTTCCCTCCTCCCACCACTACTCCACCATGTGAGTGGGGCTTTGACTTATGCCGAACGGACTTCGTGGACGAATTGAAAGAAAACAGCCGCATCCAACCCTGTTGTATCACAGCGAAGCATTCGTTCCAGTTTCGGTCCTTAGCCCTCCTATCAGCCGAATCCAAGTGTTGCTTATGCTTTAGGCTCCCTTCTTTGGCCCAAGGAGCGCCAGCAAGTTGAAGAGTCTCGTCTTCCAGAAGCGGTATGGTTCCCTCGATCTCCTCGGTGCTCGCGATGGAATAGGCAGAGTCCTCCCGGATTATCGCATGACTTAGTGCATTAGCGAATCCAATAGATTGCTGATAGTCGCCACGCATATAGTCTGATCCGAATGAGTCTACTGAGACAGATGTTAACTTGCCCAAAGATTGCTTACTCCAAGTACTGGAGGCAGACGGACTCCAGAAAGACGACTGCTCCTCCAGACTGGTTCGGCTGGAACCCATGACGGAAGGGGGGTATAATCTCGCCCGTGACCGGTTTTTGGAAGACCAGCGCGCGGTGCCGCAGCGGGAGTCGGCTGAGCGGCCCCGTGGGTAGATGTCGGAGCCGCTCCTGCTCACGGTGCTGGGGCTTCTGCGCAAACCACTCGGATTAGGGGACAATAAATGGTTCGATGAGATTCGAGACGCCTCTTTCTCTACTTGAGCACCATGAAGGGGGAGCCTCTGCTTCTGTATCGAAGTATAAAAGTCCCTCAGAACGGTTTCAACTTGCTGGCCCCAGGCTTTTTCGGTTCCATTAAATGGCACATTTACCAACGGGCCTGTGTTAGTTTCAGGATCACCTGATAATTTGACGGAGAGATCAGTCCGAGAAAGTCTGTTCACGAGCTTCGCTGGCGCATTTGTTGGCTTATCAGCGGTCATATTCCCACGATCGGGCTCATCCATAGGGGACGTCAGAGATTCCCGGGCCGACACTTTCGATTTATTGTGAGCTACATGAAGTGCTTCAAACCCATCCGGGGCCGCGTCGAAGGCCACGCGATGTATAGTGGGCATCGTGTTTCGAACAAATTGGGCTTTGGTCATCTTCTGTTCAATGTCCGCAAGGTGAAGGTCGGTGTTCAACAGAAGAAGGGAGTAGCATATAGTGTGCACAACATCTACAAAAATGGTGTGCTGAGCATCATATCGCATAAGAGTACGGAAAAATAGAGTAAGGCGGACATACCTGAAGCCTTGAACCCATGGTTAGGGTTGCACTCACACCATCGTATGGAAAACGCATCTAGAACTCGATCAACCTGCTGTGTCTCTCCCTTTAATATAAGCCGGTTACATAGACTTCGAAGGGCTGCCAATATATTCATATTGGACCAGTCAAAAAACTCCATGTATGCCTTGCGAATCGTAGCGCGGTCCGGGTCACCGAGCCATGCAGCAGCCGGCTCATTTCCCACAACTTGATCTTGACTGTCGTAGAGCTTGTGAGCCTGTTCTTTTTCTGAATCTCCTGGTTGATACTCCGGGATGTCATCAATGCAATCAACTTTACTCTCCGGTATTTCAGCGGACTTTGATTCCACCGGAGAGACCACGGGTGTGCTGGAAGCTGTGTAATAGTTCGAGATATTTGATGTCGATACTTTTAATGAGCCACTGGTATCAACAGGAGGCGATTTCGGGCTGGATTCGTCTTCGCGGTCGTACAGACTGGGTCCGCTCTGATGCTTAACTTTTCCTTCCGGCTCCCCTGGGTTTATCGTACGTGTCTCCTCGGGACTTTCTATAGGCGACACACTCTTTTGAGAGAAACGCTCAACGACGGGCGATAGTGACGGAACACTAAGGTCTTGTGGCGTCAACCTGTTCCGGACACCACCTGCACGATCACTCTCCGAGTCTGGCCCACTGTCGCGTGAACCGACGCCATCCCTGGGAATCAGCTGTTCTGGACTGGCTGAAGATGTAGAATCCATGTGATCGACTTTGGGATTATCCTCCTCTCCGACCTTATTTCCCAGAGTTGATGTATCACGTGCACTAGAGGAAGCGGCGGGGTAAAGGCTGTATTTGGGTCTCTGCACTCTACCTGCAGCATGAAAACTTTCTTTTGATTTCTCTGCAGGTGAATCAATGCCTTTGTCCTCCTGTTTATCGTTGCCTATGTTTCGGCTATGGGATTCTTTGGAAGGGAACAGCCCTGGAGCGCTAGCATCTGCAAGATATGGGTTCATCACCTTCCTTAAACTACTCACAGGGCTAGGCTGTGGCTTTGTGACTTCATGTGGCCTTGAGCCAGACTCTGGGGGAATTAGAATAGGAGGGGGTGCGTTCTCAGTCACCGATCTTTTCCGTCGGCGGAAGAATGAAGATTTCTTATTCACCACTTGATGGGTCCCTTGACGGACCGTAGTGGTACCCGCCGTGCTACTCTTCAATGGCTGTCTCCGGTCCTTGGTATTTGTAGTGGAACTATTGAAATCCCGTAGATCGTTATCTTGGGAGAATACAAGATCAACCTGATTGTTTTCTGAGCCAGGTGTAGAGTTTTTGGATGAACCAAAAACACGCCGAAAAAAACCCGGACGTTCCCTGGTCGGAGCTGGATCAGAGGGTGTCGGAAAGATAGGTTTGTTGAATGATATCGTAGGACTTGGGGCCGGCGGATCAAACGTAGCTGCCGGTATAGCCGGGGGAGGTTCCAAAACAGGCGCACCGAGTTGCGTTAAATCATTTTCACGGCCACTCATGGCTGCAGTACTTTTTGTTCGTGCCGACTTCACACTATTCCGTCGAGAAGCTACCGGTGTGCGCGATGACTGAGGACCTAAACTTCCGGGATATTCACCTTGCGATGAAACTTTATACCTTCTTGGTCCACCAGGAATACTCGGTGTAGGGGCTGCGTCAACTCCGTCGAATGATATTGGATCATAATCAATCGTAGCCTCCTTAAACGGAATGATCGGTTGTCTAGTGCCAAAGTCGAAGCTTGCGGAACGCCGCTCAGTAGCCAAATCCGCTCGATGATTTCCTGAAAGGGGTGGGCCAAAATCCATGTTTAAAGAGGAGCTCCCTTTACTACCTTGTCTGGTTCCGCGAACCCCAGAGGTACCACCTCCTGAGGTGGAGCGATGATCATATATTTGGCCGCGTAAGCTTGGCCCTTCTGGGGTGCGGGCACTACCGAATCTTCTAAGGTTAGAATTGTAATTCGAGCTGCTAGTGCTCCGACGAGCCCTGCCCGGCTGAGTCCCGTATCGACTAGCTACATCATCAGGGTTGTAGTCTAGCTCTGATGACAGAGACGATGAAAAGGTATGGCCGCGATAACGACGTTGGGTCATAGAATCTGGCGAGCAACGGCCATATAGATCTGACTCGAAAACGGAATTGAACAGACGGTAGTCATCCAGAACGGAGGCATTTGAGGATGCAAATTGGTCCAGCGACAGGAGCATATTGTCAACGATAGAAGTGCGAGCGGCATGTTTAGGGGACAAAGATAAGTCATGGGGATCTCGCTCGTCACCAGAGTCCATGCCGTTGTTTGTGTTATCACCTGCGTTGTATTCGTCGAGAAAAGTTTCGCGCACTGGCGGGCGTGACTGGGTCATCCTCCCCATAGCTTTGTAGTTGGATGCTGCAGAAGGCGTACTCGGGGGAGGATTACTGGCATGCATCTCGGGAAGTTGTTGAGACATTCTTGTACCCTCTGATCGCGTGAATAGGCTCGATGAAGGTGATGTAAAAGCCCGCAAGTCTGGCGACAGGGGAGGTTGTGGAAGAGGAGTTCAACTCGGGGGTTCTAATGCAAAAGCTGTAGGCAGATGTTCCTCTATGGGGTTAATCTTATGTGGTACAAAGTCGCTGGTTCCTTTCTTCCTCTTCCCACCCTTTTCCTATGAGGATCCAATAGAATTCCCTCTTGTTGGACTGTAGAGTTATATCATGAATGCTAAACGGGCCGTCTCCAAGGCAGAACGCAGAGGGTGGTATGTGTCATCTGTCGGTCATTGCGTAAGGATCGGCTGGAAGGGACAACGGATGTTCAGGAACCGTAGTCGAAGCAAACGTGTGACAATCAACTGGGGGTCGAGAAAAGCCCCAGTACTCTCGTGTGGATTGTTATAAGCTTGGGAAGCAACAAATCCCCCGTTAGTGTCGTGCTGCACTCAAGAATCACCAGGCATAGGTAGGGCATCAAAAACATACGTACTAGGAAGGGGAATGGAACCAAAGGACTAAGGATAGGCGGGGATTATCAAGGCAGAGGAACTGTGGGTATACGTTGAACCACTGTGGGGGGGGGTGGTGCGATGATTTTTGTCCCTTTTCTTTTTAGTTCCTTAAGGAAGAGAAGTAGGTCATAAGATAGAACTAGTGGTTGCTATCTGGGTGAATAATAAAGGAGGGAGGTTTCAAGAACAAATGACGGACCACTTCATGGCCCCGGGGAAAAAGAAAATAAGAAATCGACAAACGTGACAGGGGAGGGTGGGCAAATGTTTACCGGATATAATCCATGATCAATTCCTAAATCAAAAGAAAGACACTGGGACTGGAAGTGTCGTACTAGGCGGTGCTAGTGCCGATGGTCAGGGGCAGCAGGAGTCTTGGCCAGAACCACAGGCTCCTACAGGATGACCTGTAGGTACATTACGTAGTACGAAGTATACTAGTTGAGTATCTCAAGGGGGAAAGACATGGAAGCTATTTGCCCATCGGGTTCAAAGTCTCAGATGTCCTGTGTCCGAGAATTTGCATCTCTTTCAGATCCTTTTTTCTTCTTCCCTTCCACCCCCTCTCTTTTCTGCCCTCGAATCCCACACAATTAATTCCCCGGTTAGTTGCACCACTAGTCAACTAATCATTTAGTACTTAGCTGCTAGACTAGTTCATATCAAACTATAGATGCACATGACACTGAATACTGATCAATTACTCAACTCGTTAGCAAGGTCTCGGGTTTACTTGAATAGTCAACATCAATCAATCTTATGAGATCCTCAATCCTGACCTGTTGCTGTGGTATGGGCCACCATGGACATATAAGACTCGTGTTCTTTCTGCTCTGTAAATTTCCTCAATCGCCCGTAAAAATCCCTAATTTTTGATCCCAATAGTAATCTTGATGCAAGATACAAAAAATGATTTGAGGAGACTCCTCTCTGGCTAAAGAAAAGAGAGTAAGAGCAAGAGAAAGACACACACACACACACACACACACACACACATATATATATATATATAATATATATATATATATTGAAATATATCCATTAGTGATTGGTAACCGTTCAATTATCGGTTACAGTTGTAATACATCACGGACCGCTAGTTGATCCGAAAGCACCGGCTGGCGGATGACATAACATTTGAATGAGGATCTTCCCCCCGACTCCATACCTCGGAAGGGGTTCAGGAGCCACCAATACTCGTAAAGACACATGCTATCCAGCCCTTCCTCAGACATTCATTCTGTACCCGAGTGCTTCCCTAAACTGCGCAAAGATGAATCCTCACATATCGGTTCCGCGCCAGCATGCCAGTCCGTCTAATTTCGGCGGCACAACACCAGCAAGCCGTGGATCTAGCATCCGGATGCCGCGTTTTTTCAAAAGGTGCGCTCTTTGAGAACTCCCGTGGGCTAGACGATAACGTCAACACGGAGTATGACAACTTGAATTATTCGTGGTAGGCGATTACTGATCCGAACCCCATGCTGGCCGCAGGATGTTCAAGTTTCCGCAGATGGACTTTGAAATGGCTATATGGGAGATGACATCACTGCTGATCGCTCCCAAGAAAGTTTTTAAATCCATCTACTACCATGTGAGCATAGTCTTGATCTCTGGTCTTGCTATAGTGCAGGCGTGCTAATTATATATGTCATTGTAGAAACGTAGGTACCTATAAACCCAGCAGTCACAACCCGGTTGATGAGGAGACAATGGAAGAAGTGCGTACTTTCACAGCGATAAGCTCATAATAACCCGTCGCTTTATCTTCACAGAAACTAAGAATACCTGGCATCGACCTGATCCCTCTTTCACCTATCTACTGTCCTTCTTCTTGCTCCTCACAGCTCTCGCGTGGGGTCTCGCATATGCACCGTCTTTCGGGGCTATTGTCCGCTTGTCTCTACTTTTCATTTTTCTCCATTTCATCGGATCATCGCTGCTGGTGTCGACAATAGGGTATTTTGTCATCGGCCGACTTTTCGGTCCAGATGGAGCGGCAACCTCCCTCTCTGGGTTGCGAGGCGGACGTGGCCGGAGACGTGGTGCAGCACAAGGCTTGTTCGTGCAACCAGGCGAAAAGGATCAATTGGAATTTGGATATTGCTTTGATGTACGTCAGGATGATGCCAAGCAGGCATTTGAGCTGAACTAACCATTACAATTAGGTCTCCAACCGGGCATTCTTCCCTCTCTACCTTCACCTGTATGTTGCTCAGTTCCTTCTCCTGCCGCTTCTTACGCGCAGTCCGAGCAACTTCCTCGCCACGTTCCTTGGGAACACGCTCTATCTTTCTGCCTTGGCCTACTACACATACATTACCTTTTTGGGGTACAATGCCCTTCCGTTCTTGCATAATACTGAGTTACTCTTGCTTCCCATCCTCGCGTTCGCGATCTTGTGGCTTGTGAGTTTGATTGTGGGATGGGGTATTGTGGCGCAAGGAGGCAGCGTGGAAGGGCTCTTCTGGGGTGCCTAACCTCTGGAACCCTACCAATGGTCCGTCGTATTTGATGAACTTTCAATTGTACCTCATTCAAGCAAGGCGTTGGTGTATACGGTGACGTTCTCGATACGGTTCATATTAATGTTCATTTGTACCGTTTTGTCTGCTTTGGGGGATCTGAGCGTAGGGATATACTGCCCTTTCCTATTTATTGTGTTTATTGGAGCGAAAGCCTATCGTATAGTAGCTCTCTACATTTGCATATATAATTTTTTTTCTTGGTTTGCGGGTCTGGATATCCAACCATAGAGAGACCCGCGCTGGTGATTATCTATTGAAATTGTATTGTTCGTTCTGAAACGATCTATTCGGGTATTCTGTGTACAGTCCATATGATATCGTCAGTAGCCGGTTAGCGTTATACCCAAACCAAGTTTCTAACTAGCTGTGAATAAAACCATCCCATAACCCCTCATCAAAGTCTTGGGATCCAAGCCAAGGCTGCTGTCTGTTTCATTTATTTTTTCTTTGGGCCACCTTTCTTCTTCATGTTCAGCTTTGCCTCTATCTCTGCAGCACGCTGCTTGGCTAGCTCTGCCTTCTCTTCTTTTTCAGCTTCCTTCCGTAACCTTTCTGCCTCTCGTCGCTCCCGAATGATAGCTAGACGAGCTAGATCTGCACGAGCCTCCTCTGTTTTACCCTCAGCGTGCAGTTTCAGATAGCGTTCACGTTCCTGTTGAGCCTCAATGGCTTCGCGTTCTCTCCTCGACAGCTGTGACATGTCTTTGTCCGGATCTGAGTCATTTAGTTGCGAGCGAGACTTGGCCGTGTGATTCGGATTTGAGGGCAATTCTTCATCCCCATCACTAACCCTGCCATTTTCTGACTCCGAATCAGACGGTGGCAGATCGCCAGGCTGGACCTGGTTCCGTTTCGCTATAGCAGCTTGCTTCTTGGCTTTGGTTGCTGCTCGGCGCTCCTCACGAGTCATCTCTGGAGCTGCGGGAGAGCTGGATCCAGGTTTGGCGTCTTCCGTTGAGGATTCTTCTTCTGATCCAGACACTTCCTCCTCACCATCCTCCTCTTGTGATGAAGCTGCGGCATCGTCGTCTGGTTCCTGTTTCATTGTCGGGAATTGTTAGGAGTTCGGCTTCTAACATAAATTATGTCCATGACCCTGCCGTGACTTGACGTACTCTCCATAGACTGACGGGATTACCGTGCTTGTCGACTGGTTGAATATCGCGACTAAAGTGTTTCCCACCTGATATTCAAACATGCATCAGCCTAACATTAATCTCGTAGCATATGGTTTGGGAAGAATCCCTGATATTGCACCTACCTCCTCGCGAAGGCTTGGAGAACTTCCCACGGCCACGAGGCGCCATGATGTGAGTGGTCGGAGAGAAAGGGGCCAGCCAGGGTATTAAATACAACGGAAGTACCAGAATCTCTAGGTAATATATCTTAAAGAGATTTCTGTAGTTATACAACTGTCACTGACTTTGAAAGACAGAGCGGGGAGGAGGAGGGGGGAGAGGAGAGAAAGGAACAACGGATTATATGTAAGTGCATACAATTTAATCCCCAGAGGCGCTTCTCAGTGACTATTTCTTTACCGAATGAAACGAGAATACGGTGTCAGTGAGGCAGACCACTCTATGCCAAAAAGAGTTGAATCACAAAGTAAGCAACCAGAGGGCGAGGAAAGCCAGAAGTTAGACAGTTGAGTCACGCAGAGGATTTCTATGGTAGGGTGGGGGATTAAATCAAATGATTTAATAAGTTATGATCCTCAGGCATCAATGTGACCCACACCGAGTGATTCAATCAGCAACGGCCATATTATCTACGAGTCGTCAACTATTATGCACAATTGGTAGTAGTATATTATCAACATATAGACTGTCAAAATTTACAAGTCTGTTACACACACACATGACACTCACCCACACATATCCCATTTTATGGCGTCATTATATTCCCTTACAGATGTTGCGCATTTTCCAACAACCTCACGACCGTTGCCAGGAGAACCCCAGTTTGGCCACTCTCGCTGCAAACAAGGTCACTGCACCAGCAACAACTGCACTGCCCATGAACATCTGAGCATACAAATACTGCCCATCATTTAGTTGGATCAATGCCCCCGCGATCGGAGAGCCGATGAGAGCAGCGACAGCCACCACGCTGAGCACCATTCCCATCCTCACGCCGGTCTTTTTCAGGTCTGTTGTGAGGGTACTGAGAGTTGCAGGGAATAGAGATTGGATACCAGCCGCAGCGAGACCATAAAAAGCGCTAAAGGCGTACATCCCTTTCGGGCTGTCCACGGCAGCCCAACAGTATGCAACCACACCGGTAGCTAGACTACAGGGGATTAGCAGGTTCAATGGCCCGCTATACCAGTCAGCCATGAGGTTCGGAATCAGTCGACCTAGAAGCCCCACACCATTCATGACCAGGAGTACATCGATTGAAGTTGACTGAGAGACATTGATGACATTGCGGGCAAAGCTACCAATATAGAAGAAGCCGATATAGATGCCCCAGAAGTTGAGGAACATGCCAATGGCAAATAACGCATAGGAAGGCTCCTTGAATGCAGCCCATTCAACGAGCGGACCGCTTTGGCGCGGTGGTAGCCTTTGCTTCAGAAAGAGCAAGCAGGGCGTTAGTGTGCCCAAAGAAATAAAGCCGAGGATTCGCATGGTCCATCCATATCCGATCTGAGGCAGCAGACGCATGACGACGGCGGGAAACACCAAGCCCCCGGTTGCCGATCCGGAGGCCACAATACCCATGGCAATCGAGCGCCTTTTGGTGAAATACGTAGGCACCAGGGCAATGGTAGGGCAAAACATGAGTCCACAGCCAATTCCTTGCCCGACGCCTTGGGCCAAGAACAACTGCCAGTACTTGGTTGACAAGGATGTCATAAAAATGCAAAACAACTCCAGCACCGCTCCCAACACCAAGGTGACCTTGAAGTATCCGGCGTCGGTTGCACGACCAGAGAAAGTCCCAATAAAAAAAAGCAAGAATATTTGAATACTTCCTACCCAGGAGATGTCAGATGGAGGATGCCCTAGTGTTTCAGTATAGTAGGTCTGGAAAACGCCAAAGCTATTAATGTAGCCCCAAGTGTTGAAAATGACAAAGTGACCCAAGGCGACTTGAGACCAGGCCAGGAAGCCGCCATCAGGCGGAGGCCCAAGTTCTCTGTTCGATCCTCTGGTGCGGACCAGTGACAACGTTTTAGAGGCCAACGCGCCGGCATTACTGATGTTTGTGGGTGTCTTGGAGAGCTCTTTCGTCCGGCAGTGATCCACGTTTGATTCTCTGTCGCCGGGAGCCTCTCCAACGCCGCTTGCAGTCTCATCTCGGTGTACGTCGTCTTCTTTCTCGTTTATCATGCGCTGAGAATAGCTAGTGCCACTGGGTATTCTGTCCGACATATTTGCTAGGTGGCAGAGAGTGAATTAACAACGTGTAGACTTGTGGTCGCCAGGTGTTAAATACGTTTCTGGGCTATTGAGTAATTGAGCTGTTCTTCCACCAGGGAAGCCTTGCCATGGATCGAATTCTGTACAGACCAATACCCGAATTTGTGTACATAGGGTTTGAAAGCAGATCTACGGACAGCCTAGAGAAATTTTGTGACAAAGTTGACGGAAGAGGGCCGTGTTGTCCTGCGCGGCTTGTTCGCCGAAGCCATTGGAACCACGACCCAGAATAGGGCTCATGACCAGTGGAGAAATCTCCCTCTTGTACTATTTCTTTTTCCGGGTCAAAGCAACTACTACTCCGTAAGCGCTCTATGGAACCTGGGGGGAGGGGCTGATTAATAAGAGGGAGGCGGGAAAGAACTGGATGAATAGAACCGACTTCGCACAGAAGTCCGAGGAGCAGTCATTGTGATTCCCTGGGTTAGGGTGCCGACCGAGGGGCGAAAAAGGCGACGATCAGTGGATTTAATTCATTAAATGAAAACTTCCAAAGAGCAGGCGGCGTTGGCCCCAGATTTGTACTCTGTACGTACTTCGTACATACGCTTTTCGACCCCACAATTTGCTAGATACTTACATGACTATGGTACTAGTACGGAGTAGTTACTAGTTAGTAATAACATACATACTTATTTAAGTATAATGGAAGAGTATCCTCACTGGCTTGCGCACTTCCACCCAAAAAGTCCAACTACTACCACTTACGGTATCTCGGTAGGGCTTTATCCCTGAATCTAGCAGAGCATTAAGATTCTGTCCTTATATAACTCTCGTCTCTGGTCTATCTAGTCTCTAACACATTATGAAACAGCGGCCGAGCAAATCCATCTATGACATATTATAAAAGGACAGTGAAAAAAAGCAAAGGGAGGCAATCAAACTCTGCGACTAACCGACGAAGGGAGGAAAAGAGAATTGAAAAAGCGGGGGTGGGGAAAAAAAGACAACTCCACCCTAGCCAGGTAGTGCTACAACTTCGCTTAACGGACGTTCTTCCTAAATAACGACAAATGCCAAACCCCATCATGACGCCTCTAACAAATGGCCACTGCCAAAGGTACCCGTCTCCTCTACGCCTCTAGAATAATATGATTTATAGAATGACAACCATCTACCGCCGATGCTCTGTCATGGAAAGCTGGCACTCATGTCGGAGCCTAGGTCGTACAAAGGTCACAGAGGCCAAAGGAGAAAGCTTGCCGATATCAGTAGTCTTGAGTGGAGCTACTGTTGAGCATCGTAACAGTCTCAATCACGTCGGCTGGCTCCAACAGATGCCAACTTGCAGAAGTCTGTTTCGAACTAGCACCGACGGTTACGGAATAGACATGGTCTTGTGGGAGGTCAAACTTTTGAAGGGCTCGAAACATATCTGTGACAGATCAGCCATCATCGAATGATGTCAACTAGCCGCGAAGAGCCAGACTAGACATACCTTCATCAGTAAAGTCGTCCCCTGAGCAAAAGATGAATTCAGGAGCCTGTCCAGGGCCAGTCCCGTATTCGTTGACTAGTCGGCTTGCGATGAACCCTTTGTTGACAAACGTCGGACGAACCTCCAAATTGGCCTTTCCTGCCATGACTTCCACGTCCCATCTTTTACCTACAGTCTCCTCTAGATGTTTTCGACACTCACGAGCCTGGAACGCACCATACTCAGGGTCTGCACGCCGATAATGCCATGTCAAAGCAACCCGCTTCCTCTCAATGAATGAACCTTGAGTTCGCTCGGTGTAGTGCTGGAATACCTCCATAACCTCCTTCTGCCATCCCATGTTCGATCGTTCGGCCAGATTCTCCCAGTCGTCCGAGCGTGGCTTCCGGATGAAGCAACCATGCTCGGCACTCAATCCTAATTCAGGAATGTGACCCATCCATTCATCGAGAAAGGCTTGATCGCGCCCACTGATGATCCATACTGCATTACGGGAGTCTGCGGCTAGGGTTTTGATAGTCCGCAAGACACGGTCGGATGGTATAGCGGCCTGTGGATCTTTGACGATTGGGGTAAGTGTGCCATCATAGTCGAACATGAAAAGCCTCTTCCGTGCATTATGATACTGCTTTAATAGCTTGGCTCGATCGAGGGCGGGAGTCGCCACAGATTGGTCAAACGAAGAAAGATTGGTCAACAAACGCGAGAGATATTGTGTGGACCAAGCCGAGACTGTATTTGTTGTAACATGCTTGTAGAGTTTCTGATGGCTTGCCTTTCGATCATCAGAGGACATCGTCAAGGCCTGATTGATGGCTCCAGCTACACCTGCCGTGTCCCACGGATTGATATGGATCGCACTTGAGAGGGTCCCAGCAGTTCCTGAGAACTCGGAGAGGATCAAAGGACCGTAACTTTGCTGTTGGCAGATGATATACTCCAAACTAGTCGTGTTCATGCCATCTCGAACAGTGGTAATCAGACCGACATCAGCCACGCGCAGCAAGGCAAAATACTCATGCTGGGAGAGGTATTGCGGGTAATACTTGACGGGTGAGAAGCTCAAAGACCCAAAGCGGCCGTTTATGGTCGAAACAAGATTGGATATCTGACTTGCAATTTTGTTCTCCTCTTTTTCCTCTTCGACACTGGTCGGACTGGTGACCTGGATAAGCACCACCTTGTCGCGCCATTCAGGGTACCGCTCCAGGAACACTTCGAACGATTGCAACTTCTGAGCCACACCACGGACACTGTCCAACCGATCACGGCCGACAATGATCTTCTTCCCGGCGTAAAGCTTGCGTATCCCCGTCACAGCGTTCTCGATCTCAGAGGAACCGAAGGCAATATTCTGGATTGCCATGGCATCGATACCAATAGGGAAGACGTCCACGGCCACGTGGGCACCATACGCATCAACTCCGGCGGAGTTGGAGTCAAATCCGAGCACCCTAGTGCAGCAGGATGAAAAATGACGGGAATACGAGAAAGTCTGAAATCCAATCATGTTCGCACCCAATACTCCGGTAAGCACCTCCTTTCGCTTAGCTAGACAGCGCATAAACTCGCTACTGGGAAATGGGGCATGTAGGAAGAAGCCAATGTAAATGTTTGGGATCCGCTGCCTCAACATACTGGGCAAAAGGAAAAGATGGTAGTCATGGATCCAAACAATATCGCCTTCCTGATATTCTTTCAGAATCCGGTCTGCAAATAGCCGATTCATTCGTACGTAATCCGCCCACCAGTTGCGTTCGGATCGGCCATCTGTGGGGCCATGTTGCTTGTAGTGCAGGAGAGGGTACAGCTCCCTTTCTGCATATCGCCTCCATCTGCCTTGATCCTCCAAGGAGATTGTATCCTGGGGGATTTCTGTCTCAGCCGACAGCCACACGGGGACGATTTTACCGTACCGCCCGGAGCTTAACTGCGCATCTAGTCGACTTCTATCGTCCTGGCTGACTGCGAGACCATCTAGGAGAGGATGGCTAGGTGGCCGTTGATTGGCGTCCACAGGTATAGGTGCTGCTGCCTTATTGAGGGGTTTTGCTGTACCATTTGCCGCAGCTGGCAGCTTTGCACTCGTGTTTATGGGGATTTGCTGCAAAGGCACCGTGTCCTCCGGGACTGGTTCTACTTCGCCGGTCCAACCAACGAGTGTATGAGACCAATTAGTCTCCTCGGAACCTAGATATGCCAAAGAATCGAATAGTGCCGAGGTTCCCGGACGGGGTTTGAGCTCCTATTAACTAATTAATCTATCTATGTCAAGGACTCTGCTAAGGCCATAAGATGGGAAATGAGGGTACAAATGAATAGACAAACGGGGCATACACACCCAAGACTCCCGCCGATAGTAAACTTTGTATGGGATACAGAAGGCGGCGCTAATGATTCGTCCAGAGAGACGCAAGCCTGGGTGTTGTTGACGTAGATCTGCCTCCAGCGCTTTGGGCGTCTCCCTCAGACTCAAACGACGCAAGAGTTCAATTCTCGATCTCGCATCCTTGGCAGCCTGAGCAGGAGTGGTAGGGGTAGTATTTGACGACTCTGAAGACATCTTTTCGCTAGGAATTGCAGAGAAGTACGAAGGCGCATCCGTAATTAAAGATTGCATTTTCTCACCACCCGGAATAGGGGTGGCAGTTGAGGCCTTGGTGTAAGCCTCTTCACCTAGAACTTTGACGCCCGGGCCAACTAGAACCGGGTCAGGCTGGTCGCGGGGTATATTTGCAGGGGTCGTCCTTTGTTCGGAGGACATTCTCAAATATAGATAGAACAAGTAATAAGGACGATGCAAGGGGGAGAGGCGAATGACAGCGCGGCGAGGATCTAATCAGCTATCGATCTGAAGTTTCCAAGACTAGTCAGAGAAACGACATTGTCTTCGAGCTTCTGTGTACGAGATCGATGATCAACAACAGGGGGGTGGGCAATAATTGTAGGACTTTTCGAGTCGCAGGTACCTCGGAGAAATGGAATGGGAGAGATAGATAAAGCTAGTTTGGTGGGGGGGGGGGAAACCGCGAACTATGCCCTGGACGGCAAACTGGGAATCATTCCATGAACTGGGGGCTGTGGGAGAGTTAGAACACCGTAAATAAGAGATTGTTGTTGGAGTAATGGTGAACTGGGTTGCTTTCTCTCTTTCTCTTTTTTTATTCCTCAATAAGAGTGAAAGCGTGAGGGAAGGGAAGACGGGGTGGGGAGAGGGAGAGAGAAAACGGGGTCACTGACGGAGAGGGGCGGACGGTTTAGAAGTCACAGGCGGTGAAGACCTGAAGAACGTGGATTCAGTCGCTTCGCTCGGTTGTTGGCTGCTTAATATATGCAAGCAATAGGGAGAGCTGGATTGTTCACGAGCCAGAGAAGAGAGATATGAGGGATATAAGGTAGAACAGGAGAGAAGGAGATAGAGAGAGAGGGAAGATCAAAAGCAAGAACGGTGATGGGCCACACACCCACCCCCCAAAACGGACTGTTCCAGGCCGGTGACTCGGAAGGAAAAAAAAAAAGAAAACATATACTTTACTTTACTTACCTTAATTGTCTTAATTAGTTCGGAAACAACTATAGTAGTATGGACTATAAGTACCCAACCAGACATAGCCTATAGAGTATGTAGTCCCATAATGATGAATTAATTGTCAATTCAAATAACCGGTTTCAACGTACCCCACGATACTCGAGTGGATGATGCGATCCATGAAATTCTCATTATCAGTCCTTTCCCCGCCAACCGTGAGTTCATCACACATGTACGTCATTACCCGAACGCTTGAGATCAATGTCCTTCTTCTTCCTTTTGTCTTTCTTTCTTTCTCCCTTTTTTTCCCCTTAGTTCACCCGAAAATAGACAGAGAATGACTACAGAATGATGACCTGCCATTGGGGCACGAAGATGAATCGGATTGTGCCTTCTCCGGGTTGGTTGTTTGGCCCAAGTACAATTGGTAGACCCATCCTCACTAATACTAGAACTAATAATATGGATACACAGTATGCGTTGTTAGTACGTATACTAGTAATCTCATCGAATCATCGAGACCCGATTATCTAATCAATTGCCTACTCCCGGTGTTAGGGCTGTGTCTGGCACGTGATAAAATCTTTTGTTATCGGGTGCACGGGATCAGTGTGGATGCTACCATCACCAAGTTCTTCGTTTCTTGGTTTTTGTACCATTCATTCATTCGTCTATTCGATCGCTCCTTTATTCTCCTGCTCTTTCATAATAAAAAAATTTTAAAACTTAGAACGCTGCTCTGTCCCGGTATATGCCCCGGGTTCTCGTCAGTCATTCGCAATGCCTCGATTGCCTAGTTACTCGCGCGACCATGCGCTTCTACCTCTCGGCCCGTCTACTCCCCTCTCCTTACCCTGTCCTTCGGCAACCCACGTTTCACTCTTCCCTGTCGATCTTTCGAGCTGTTTCTGGAACTAGGTTCTACTCTAAGGACATGGCTGTATTTAAAAACAGCCTCCCGAGGACTCTCGAAGCCCACCGATCCTCGAATAGGACCGGTCTGGTTCGTAAAGTATTCGATCGGACACCCTCTGGAGACCTCGCCCGCCCTGTAATTCCGGTGGACGAAGATTTGACCTTAAAATTACCAAGGAAACCAGCTTACCCAGAAGCTACAGCTCAGCTTGTTTCATCTGGGCCATCGACACGGACAGCAAGGAGTACTCGTACTATGAAAAAGGATCCCGTCATTACCACCCGAACAATCTTGTGTGACCGGATACGATGGAATGTAAATGCAGAACAAGGCCGATGGGAGCAATCCCCATGGATGGATTACTGGGACGCGGGTCGCGAATGGCCTGACGGCTTCTTGCAGCTAGATGCAGAGATCCGCGCACTTGAGGAATATTTGTTACCAACACCTCCTGAACAGGATAGGGTAAATCATATAGTTACTCAAGTTACAAACATGCTGCGAGATGTTATACCTCATACGCCGCAGGTCATTGGCTCTCGGCGAACCGGGTTTGCGATGAGCCATTCAGACTTGGACTTCATCTTGCCTGTGCCGGATCCGGCCCGATCGATCGACAGGGTCCGAAGGCCGAGTCCTACACGGCCACAGATTCTTAGTCTCCATAGTGATCTATTGTCTCGGGTGGAATGTACCCTTCAGCATTGCTCGTCGTTCAGTGGCCGGATTGAGTTGAACGGTAAATGGAATTCAATTCTGACCGCTGTTCACCATGAGACCGGTATGCGAGTGCAGTTCCACTGTGGTGAAGGCTTGCCCTCCTCTGTTGAGTATATATGCGACTATCATGCTGAATATCCTGCGATTCGGCCGCTATACATGGTCATCCGTCTGATATTGGAGGCGCAAGAGTTGTTTGGTAGCCATAACTCATCCATTGAGCCTGATACTCTTGTGATGCTTCTTGTGGCATTTCTTAAAATGAATCATGGCCGATTCCAAGAGTCAGGGAGCTTGGGCGAACAGCTCCTTGCTGTTTTAAAGGTCTACAGTTCTGAGGTTGATCTACGACATACCTGTGTTTCCGTGGACCCGCCGAGCTTCTTTGATGCAAGTACTGTGAAAGACACAATAAAAAAATACGATGCAGAGGATTTGCCGGCCCACCTCCGCGGCCAGCGTGCACTTGTAAATCGGAAGAAAACGGCTGCTATCAAGCGAAACATACCGGCAGCCTCGAGGCTATGCCTTCAGGATCCCGCCAATTATATGAATGATCTCGGCCACACATGTTGTCGCACTTCTGAACTCCAGGACGTTTTGGCGCGCGCACATTATCGCCTTAGCACATGTCTGGGTGCAAGGGAGCGGCGTAAACATGGTGGTTTGAAAAACAGTCTTCTGGCTTCTGTTCTACAAGCGAATTTCGATGACTTTCGCAAGGTGCGAGCGCAGATAACCACATCTTCCTGTATATGAGAACAGATCAATCACTTGTAATAATAAGCAGTGTATAGTATCGCCTAATTTAATATAGATTAGTGCCATCTTGTCGTATATCTTTGATAAAACTATCATATTTGAACTTTGTTCCCGTTGGCTGTAGGTCAATTAACAGCGATCAATATTTCTAGTATTTGCAACACAAAACAAGATCACTATGAATTGGAAAGCAAAAGATAGACCGAAGATAGAACGCCTGCAATACCGAAGTATCAGGAAGGCAGGTACAAATGTTAAATTAATAGTAGTTATTACGCGAGATAGGGGCAGATTCACACCTTTGGCTGTTTAGAAGTTAGAGAATTACGAGCACAAGAGTAACGTTGAAAGCCACAATCGCCGAGCACATCATGACTAAACATTGCTGCTTCACTAATATGCCTAGAGTCCCACAAAGGGAGGTGGATGAATTAGAGGTACACAGAGGACACGCAGTGCATTAATTACTGCACAATAATCAGCAACCTGCCTTTAATAGTGAAGAAGTCAAAAAGAAAGATAACTTACTAGATTTCCAAGGGTGAAAGTTGGTCAAGTGTGTACAGCCAGTTTCCACCTTGTTCTTCTTTTTCGAGCCTAGCTCAAGCAGTTAGTACATGGAATTATCGTTTATAATGCAGCAAAAGGTTCAACTAACCAATCATAAGGCCAAAGAATCAAATGTCCTTGAACCTGGTTCAGAAGGTCCTCCGCTCGTTGTTTGTCAATCACTTCATCCAATGCATGGAACTCCCGTTTCGAGCCCAGAGTTGTAGCCCTTCGTCTACGTCGTCGTGATTGGGCCGTGGCATTTCGGTTTAAAGCCTCCGAATAATCAACGACTGGCGGATCTGAAACCTGTTTCTCATGATCTTCTCCGGAAGATCCGTTCTCATCATGTCGCCCATTTTGTAAGTTTCCAGATGCTAGTGCATCTACCGTTCTCAACCCAGTCGTCTTTTCGTCTTTAGATGACAGTGTTTCTTGTTGCTGTGTCATCTTTGGCTGCGTACGGCCGTGATCCTGGGGGTTTGCAGCTTGTCGGAGGTCAATCTTCTCAGTTGATAATTGATCCTTCTGGCCCATCGCCTGCCCTTCCGCGTTTGGGCTGGCTGCTAATACGTTAGACTGGGTTGCGAGGCCGCCTGCAATCAAGCTGGCACCTGTACCAGGTGGGCCAGTTTGCCTAGCATGAGCTGGATGAAATGCCTTAGCACTGTGTTGATTCTGCATTTCAGCAAAACGCTCCCCGTAATCAGCATAGTCCTTATACTCTTTCCAGGTCTTCACCTCGCTGTCAGGCATGCAGCGGAAAACGCTCCGGAACAAATTCGTATTTTTATCGGCAACAGCATACCAAGTGTCTAAGTAAAACACGTCGATCACCGGATCTCTCATGCAATCTTTATCAATGAATACATGTTTCATGTCTGTGCTCAGTGGGTGCGGGTACTTTGTCATGTCGAACTTTTCTTTAGAGGTGGGAACAGCACCATTGCCACTGCTCTCGGTATCATGTCCTGATAAAACTGGGTTACGGGCAGCTGACAGTCCTTCAACAACTGAATCTGGCTCATTAACATTATCTGGCAAATCAAACGATGTTTTCCTTGCTTCTTTGTCGCCATTAGCTTCTTGTGGAGGGCAATGTCTCGGTTGCTGGATGGTGCCCTTACCCTCGCTCGCAATAGGTGAGACCAAGACCTCTGACTTGTCGCCCAAGAGCTGAGAATCACGAGCTTCTCCTAAACCGGCTTGCAGAGCAGCACTGAGATGATCAGGACCATACCCGTCCACATCCTTCTTATGCTCTGGGTTGGCAGTCACTCTTGCATCTGCGGTGAGCTTCCTGTTCGACTTGAGATTAGGATTGTCACCCTGCTCCCAGTCGACGTCATGATTGAAGCTGTGTATATCTTCCGACCGCGAGAGGAATTCGTCTTGTATACGGTGCCGACGCTCGATCATGTCCCTCTCATCCTGTTTTTCAAGCATAAGTGACTCGGGATCGAGTCTCTCATGATCTCCCGGTGACTTGGAGCCCTCCTCAGCAATCTGAATCCTTCGCAATTCTTCTTCTGTCGCCATGGAATGCTCCATGAGCTCATCTACATCAATGCCAAGATGCTCTCGCATTAGGCGCATTCTTAAAGTATGGGGGAACCGTCCGACAAGGTAGGGATGACCATTCATGCTGGACCAGATCATGTCTGTATCACGCACAACAGCTGCTACCTCTGAGTCTCGCGATCCCAGCATAGACCGTTCATTGATGTTTGCAGACCCAATGATTGCAGCGCGGTCATCAACAATCATGCATTTGGCGTGGATGTAAAGCTGCTCAGTGACAAGTTGCTTCTGAGGGCCGATCTTGCCCCAGGCCCGCAGGCTGAAAAATTGAATATAATCTTCAGGTTCAATGCCCAAAGCTCGGAGTCGTCCGAATATAGATGTCTCTCCCCGGCAGATACTACGGTACTGACACATCATGATTAAACGGACGCTTGTCCCACCCTCACTGTCTACCGTATTCTGGAAACCTGGCACCAGTGGAATAACGATAACCGCACGCCATGCCTCTTTGTTCTTCGCAGCCCGAGTTATCCGCTCGACCAGGGCATCGCCTATCAGGTTCTCGATTTTCCTGCCGTCTATCTCACAGGTGCTCACAAAGAATTGGTTCTCGATATAGACGAAATGATCCGATTCTTCGATTAACTTAACATAGGCATTCATGATGCTGTGCTCAGTAATGTCGGACGTACCAGTGGACCATGCGCTGCTCGATCGTAAGATCTGAACTTCACAGGTCCCGTCTAGGCCAAGAGCTTCCAAATCCGCTGCGTCAAAATCAGGCGGAGGAAGTAGAAACGGCGTGGGCCGAGTTGGTTTTCGCTGACGCAAAATATAGTTCCACCGTTGGACAAAATGGCGAGTGAGGTCCCGAGCCGGTTGGCCGACAACATGCATTGATATATCGTGCCAGGGCATTCTGGGGATAACATTTCGATCATACATCTCTTCGTACGGTTTATCTAAATCATAGAAATCCTGAACACGTGGGTTCGAATAGTCTTTGCCAGGCCAAAGCTGGCAGTGGTCGGCATCCTTGGGGCCATCTGAAGTCTCGAATCCTGTTGGTTTGTCATCTATGAGAAGATGTTGTGGCGTATCCCACCTTCCAAAGCAAAGATCGATACCTCCCACAAAAGCCAAGGTATGATCTATTATGCACAGCTTCTCATGATGTGCCCAAAAAAAAGTATTTTGCCGAAATTGATTTGGAGATCTCTGCACAAATATATTGGGATGCAGGTCAAGAAGGGAGAACTTGGAATATTCTGAGTCAATTGGGATGGCAGAGTTGATATTTCGATACATGATGACAAATATCTTGACGCCTTCGCGAGCTTTTCGCTGGAGAAGGCGATCTAAGCGCCACTTCTGACTGATTGCAGCTGGCCGCCGCATATAAAGCTCAGGACTAAGCCACCAGTCATGAATGTATATAACATCTTTAGCCTGGTTGATCGCCCGTGACACCATCCACATGTGATCCCGAGCATCAACCAGCCACTGAGCGAAGCAATGATGGCGTACTGGAGCAAAACTTTCAAACCTATTCGGCCTTGCCCAAGGGGTATTGTTGACCATAAACCGAATAGAATCTTCAAACTGATGAAGTTGGCGCTCGTTTCTGGCCAAGAGCTTGAGTTTCCGCTCTGAATTTTCAAGCCTCAGGGTGTGATGTTGGGGATGCCTAGCCGACTCTTTTGCCGACTTTGCAAGCTCCTTTGGTTTCTGGTTTCGGATGCTGATCTTCTGGGTTTGCAGCTTGAAGAATGAGTCTATCAAGAAAACATCGTAGATATTCATCGCCTCGGGGGAATCGACACAAACGACGTAGCTATGTCTGACTAGGAACCACTTTGGCGAATGACGGTTTTTTACCATAGCAGGAGTCAAGGCCCTCCGGAAATCCAGGCCTTTCGAGGATTGTATGATCAAATACCCCTCTTTGCCATGATAGCTCCCTTCAGCAGCAAGGCGCACACCCAAGGCCGACAACTCCAGGAATTTACACAGACGATTGCTATCAGGTTTAAAGATAAGGAACCGAATCAGCTTTTGTAAATAAGATTCGAGTTTTTTTCTTTGTCTCTCCGGATAACTCTCTTTCTTGCTCGGTCCTGCATCCGCGGCGCCTAAGGCTCCAGCAGCATTTTCTGTATCGGGGTTCGTTACAGTCGACTGTCGCCGGGATATATTACCGGACGATCGCCGCCGTGACTGCTGCCTCTTCCCGGCTCTCTCATTGCCACTTGTCGCCTCGGCTGCGGTTTCATAGCCGCCGTCATCTTCTTCGTCCTCCATGTCGCTTTCTAAGCCCCGAACACCTCGAAGATAAGGAAATGCACTTCGAGGGAAACGTGGAAGATTCTGTGCACCTTCAGTATTTCGCAGTTGGATATACTTTTGCGTTCCAAAGTGTAATTTATACTTCAGATGAAGATTTGCGAAATCTCTCAGCGTTCGATGAATAATCCACTTCATCCGGGTCATACCGCTTCCATACTCGAGTTCAATCCTAAAAACAAGGTGGCGATCTCCGGAATGAGAATCGATCCTACTATCCGTTACTCGAACCTTGAGCTGCTCAAGGAGAATCGGAATACGTTTGCTGCCGTGCTCATCACGTTGAAACATGCTAGCAAGAATTAGGGCGGCCGGTACCCCCGAGGTCAGCTCGGCTAGCAGTTCGGCCGACTTCGCATGGTCAACTGTGTTGTCGGTCTTACGTCGCTGTCCAATCAGCTTCAATCCAGCCTTGATTTGCCGCCATCTTTGAGCGCTGAGGCTAGAGCCACGTTCGGCTCGATGGCGCCTCCAGGGCGCGCCAGGATTCTCGACGTTTTCCGACGGTCCTGTCATGCCAGTGAACCGCCTCAGATTGCTAGGGCGTCTCTCATCCTGATTCGGTTGTGAGTCAATCTGCCGCCCCCCGTAATTGAGTGCGCGAGTGTTAGCAAGCCAGGTGCTTCTCCGCCGCCAAGCGTTATCGCGATTAAGGCGATCCCGGCCCTCATCCTCTGACACTCCCTCACGTTGCTGCGCGTAGTCTCCAGTATTTCGTCGTGGAAAGAAGTTTGTGCGATAGTTTTCAAAGGGGGCAAATGAGCTAGGCAGGTGAAAGGAGGGCCGACCCGAGGCTTTCGGTGTGTTCGGTTCTGTTTGGGGTGTAGCATCGTTTTCTTGTTGACGACGCAGCTGCTGCTTCTTCTTCTTCTTCTTCTTCCTCTTCTGCTGCTGCTGCTGCTGCTGCTGCTGACCTTGTTGTTCTCCAGCGCTCTCTTCAGCATCGGCATCAATATCGCTCCCTTCCTCTTCTAGCGTGTTGGGGAAACGGAACTCCCCCCTTTCCGAGCCTGGGGTGGTGAGATCATGGTTAGCGTGTCTAGAATCCCCAATAGTGGCAGCACTAGCTGAGCGGGAATGAGAGGCGAACGAAGGGGAGGCAGCAAATGCCTTGAGCTTGCCGAAGATCGATTGCTTGCCCTTCAGGTCCGCATCAACATCATCCCCTGCTACGGAAGAAGGTCTTGATCGGGCAGATTCAGCGGGAGGATCGTTTTCGGTGGCTTCACCGGGAAATTGAACACTTGGTCGCCGCGATGATAGCCCATGGAGGGATGCTTGTGATTTTTGGCTCATGACCTTCTGCTGGTTGTCGAGCGAATCGTTCGGCCGTCGAGGGTTCAAAGACGTTGATTTAACCCCGGAAAAGCCATCCCATTTTTCCCATGAGCCGCCGGTCTCCCCAATATGTGGTTTTCCGCCATTTTCATCGGTAATAGTATTCGCTCTCCACTGATTTGCCTCGGCAGCAGCCTCTGCCTTTTCCCGATTGTCTGAAGGCGAATACTCAGTGCCAGTGGTACGAGTTGGAGAAGGGAAAGGCGAGGACAGTTTTGGGCCATTGGATAGAGCAAGTGGCTCTGGCTTTCCGGTGGTGAGCAGATCAGAGGAGTTTTCAGGAACCCTCATTTCTGAGGGAGGAACCGTAGAGTCGGTCATAGTGCGTACTAAGGACAAGGCATTGTTAGTTCACTACGGGAGGAGTCAGGGGCAATACAATAAGCCTACATAAGGATAAGGATCAATATGATCCTGTCAAGATTGATCATGGAAACCTCACAATGAAGTCATTCTAATGCTGTTCGAATGCGTGATTTATATTGAACAATAAGCCTAGGGGGCAACTGTCAAGCCGGGGCGTTAGAACCCAAAAGGAGCGTTGGTGTTAGTTTACGACACAAATAAGTAGTCCCGAGCCGCAGTGGAGTCCGACCCATAATTCATCCCAATCAGAAAGGGACCCGCTTTAGCGGTGGAAACCTGGGAAGGAGAGAAAGAAAGTCTGGATGTAAAAGGAGCTGTTGATCTTTGGTTATAAGTAAATTTTGATCATTTCTGAAGAATTTTGTTCTTTGATTTCTAGAACATATATGACTTAAGAAGAAGAAGAAGAAGAAGAAGAAGAAGAAGAAGAAGAAGAAGAAGAAGAAGAGGCCTCTGACTGCACCCACAATCCGTGAGCCGGTGGTTGAAAAGTAAGAGAAGCTCAAGAAGAGGTAAACTTTGATAACTGGACTCCGTATGTTAACAGCACTGAAAGACTGTTTGGGTTAAACTAGCAGGACACCTTGTGGCTGGTGAAGAGAAACAGCCACTGGCTGTGCTCCATTTTCTACCGAGGTACGGAATATGATTACAGTTCTTGGCTTTGAACTCCGCAGCTTAATGATATAAGGGAAGGCTAAGGTCACTTCGCCTGTTGCTCATCGAACCTTGGGACTCAACTTCGTGTTATTCCTCTTCCTTTTCAACTCACCTTTACAGTTGTAAAAAAAAAAAAAAAGAAAAAATAGAAATAAAGAACAGGAATAGAGAGAGAGCGAAATATGACAGACCCTCTCAAACCTTTGGATGCCGCACCCCGCATAATCCCATCACCCGTATCGCAAAAGACGTATCCAGTCGCAGGGATACTTACTACAGTATTTGGTCTTAATGAGTTACCTGCCCAAGCTTCAGAGGTTGCGTGCCTCTGGCTGCTGCACCCCCGACTAGCGACTCAGGAACGGATGGCGGGAATTGCTACAGCAGCTATCACGGACTGGAATAACCGAATAAAGACCAGCCCTGCCAATAATAGCCAGTCTGTTAAAGGCCTCATCGCTGTCGCATTTGATCAGCGAAACCACGGCACAAGGCTAGTTGATCCCATCGGAAATGAGGCATGGAAACAGGGCAACCCTCATCATGCGCAGGACATGTTTTCCATCTTTCGTGAGTGCCCCGCATTTTCAGAATGAAGGTTCCCACATCTGATTTATTTGGAATTTAAGAGGGCACTGCGCGGGATGTTTCCCTTTTGATTGATTATCTCCCATCTTTCGTGTTCCCTCACTCTGAGCACAAGATCACCAAAAACCTCGTACTTGGTGTTTCCCTAGGTGGGCATGCAGCGTGGAGCTGTATTCTACACGAGCCACGTATTACTGCCGGCGTGATTATCATTGGTTGTCCCGACTATGTGAATCTCATGGCCGATCGTGCGAGACTGTCGAAACTCCCAGCATGGACAAGCAGTGACCCGCCGGGCTCCCAGTTCTTGGGTTCTGAAGCGTTTCCTGCGTCTCTCCTAGACACCGTCCGTAATTATGACCCGGCCAGTCTGTTCTTGAGCTATATGGACAAGAAGAAGAGTGTTGAGCCTCTACGGAACCGTACCTTGCCGGAGCCGGATGAGAAAGAGAAGCAGGCTCTACAGCCGCTGTTGGCCCGCTGCCTAGCAGGCAAAAGGATACTTAATCTTTCTGGCGGTGTGGATAAACTGGTTCCATACCATCGAGGAGAGGCCTTCTTAACTTGGCTGAAAGAAGCAGTTTCCCCCAACGGCTGGTTTTCCAAGGGTGCGGTGACTCTAGAAGATGTTATTGACGAGAGCGCGGCGCATGAGGTGACGCCCAAGATGGTTGACGAAGCAGTGCGGTTCATTAGTGATACTCTCGCTGCCAATGACGAGGATTTAAAGAAGTCTGGATTTATTCGTGAATCCAGAATATAATTGGATTATAGAGCGGTTTAAGTGCACAATGATAGACTGTGTGATCCTGATCGATACCATCTGATATCAGCAACCCCCATACTAACGTGCGCCCGAACCTATGTGCCTAAAGAGAAGCGGCCTTGCCGCCCACGGACGTTGTTCCACATGAGTATGGTATGTAGATATAACAGTAGATGAGTGTAAAAGAGTAATTCCAAGAGGTGCTACCTGGTTTAGACGCGTTGCAGCAACTATCCAGCCAACCAGGGAAGGGCGTATCTCTGAAATTCAGGTAAGGTTCGGCTTCTATCTTACAGCGATTGTTGCCAAGGGTCGTATTGCCTGGGACGGCTTTAGGTTTAGAAAAAGCGAAAAGAAATCCTCCTTTATGGTATTTTGTGAGATAGTGAGATCGTAAGGGTGTCTGGAGGCTATGCTATGCTCATCACAAACAAAAACCCTTGGTTTTGTAAATACACGGATCCCTGTGCCCGATCCGCGGCCCCCATGTTCGAGTCCTTATTCCTTTCGATAGAAATCGAGCCTCAATTACGCCGACCATAGCTAGCGCAGCACCTTGGCCTTCTCCAGGTAGCAAAGTAATCCACATTTTAGGCAACCAACTCAACGACACCACCGGCTTCCTTGATCTTCCGCTCAGCATCCCGACTGAAATACCTGGCACGGACGACGATGGGGATCTCGGGGATGCGGCCCTTGCCGAGAACCTTGGAGTAGCCAAGAGGGAGGAGGTCGATAACGGGAGCAGTGTCGGTCTTCTGGCCGCTCACGTAGGCGTCACGCTGTTCAGCGGGAACGAGGGACCACAGCTAAACCAAGAGTTCACCAATCAGTTACATATTCATCACAGCCATGGTAAATTTCCTGCTTCCTTCATTATTGCCAATTGATCCAATTTTTTCTTGCTCAAAGCGTCCTTTGTTTTTCATGCCACATATGCACTTCACACAAGCCGATCCTCGTCTTTATCTCCGTCCATCGTTGTCTACGGCGATGTTCGCAACTCCACGTACCTTGTCGAGGTTGATCACGGGCTTCCAGAACTGCTGGTTGGTCTTGTGGAAGTACCTCATACCAACCTTACCGAAATAACCGGGGTGGTACTTGTCGAGGTTAGTACGGTGGTGGTGCTGACCACCGGCCATACCACGACCACCGGGGTGCTTGCGGTGCTTGCCGATACGACCGTAGCCGGCGGATACATGACCGCGGCTATAAGAGAGAGAAATGCAAGTCAGCTTCGTCTTGTCCCATTCTTTGATAATTTCGATATAGGAGCCGGGATTAGCCTGTCGCATTTCACCACGACAAACAAGAACGTTCGACCATCCTAAGCGATAAAAGAAAGAGCTTTTCGACTCACGATTTCCTTGTCTTCGAGAAACGGGTAGGCATCTTGTCGACGGTGGTGTACTCGACAAGACCGGTCTGAGTGTTTGGCGATGGGGGATGCGATCGTGTGTGCTGGTCGCTCAGATGTTGAAATCAAGGCCTGGAGGCGGCGGCTCTAGATTGTGCGCTAACTTCGCTTGCCCTAAGTAGGGTCAACCCTCCCCGTCTTGGCATTAACCACGTGATTCGCATCGTTTTGTATCTAGTACTCGAAAAGATGAAAGACCAATAATTTCTTAGAAGCCTTCGTATTAAGCATGTGTAAATTAATTTTTATTATGCTTGATTGGTCCGTTGTGCCACAAAGAACTTCGAAAGACTACCTACTGTTGCTCTAGCTGGCCGCAGAGTGGAACTGCTCGCCATGCTCTGTTTTATCCAAGCGGGCAGTTTCCCTTGTATAGCGGGTTTATCGTAACGTCTATCCATCAAAACGATGGCAGCATAATCATTACGATGTCTAATAGCTCTCCCAATACACTGATTGACTGCCCGCATGCAGGAGTTCTCATAGAAATCCTTTCCCGCAGCTTTTGCGGCCAACTGCCGGTTTGCCTCGGAGCCCGAGTTCTCCTTGTAGGCTTTTTGTTCAACATACTGGATCTTTGCTTGCCAAACCGCACTGCGTATATTTGGAAAGGGCAAGCCAACAATCAACACACCTCTTCCCAACCTGTCAGAAAAGTTGATACCCTCTGACAACTTCCCACCTACCACGGAAAGAAGTAAGGCCCCTCGTCCTGACCCAACAATACTTGCATATTCTTGCAAAAGCCCCTCAATGCTCATAGTCATATCTCGTGACTCATGCAGAATAGTCTTTTTCTGCTCAATCACGTCATAAACAGTACGATTCTTCTCTCCTGCAAGGGGTCTTTTCCATATGCTCAACACTCGACTTAGATAGTCATAACTTGGGAAAAAGGCAACAACACCATCTGGAATAACCTGGCACAGAGCAGCCATAGTTCGTCCCAGGTCAACTACCTGTGCACATGCATAGATTAGATCGTGGAAATAGAAGGGTTACCCAAGCTAAGAATCCATACCATCCGTTCTGAATCCCGTGTATCAAAGGTGAAGTCGAATTCTGTACCTGTAATCCCTTTACCTAGGACTTGTGCGATTAAATTCTCTGGGGGAATGACATGACCATAACTAAAGATGTCCAGGCGACTCGACGGCACGTACGGGAACAAATGGTTTATGTAGTCCGTCATCTGTATGTCCTTGTCAACTAATGAGAAAAGGGCGTGCTAGTTAGAAACTAACATACAGGTGACATAGTTCCACCAGCTAATATAACAGCCCTTGCATCATCAACAATTTCGCGAAATTGATTCATTGGGTCGAGGAGCATATATTTTAACTGAATATCACCCTGGGCCTTTATATAGAACAGTTTACCTTCTGCTGAGAGGTTCATCAATGGTAGGAGAAAGCTCTGTATATGGAATAAGACCGGTGTTGAAGGCTTTCTGTCTGCTTGACGGTCTGCTTGCTCTCGGGAGAATTCGGCATAACCATCAACCTTCCTCGCTAGCTTACTCTCATGTAAATATCGACATAACTTGTAAGGGTTGATCTGGTCGACGCCTTTCCCAGACATGAGATCTGATGGCTGAACAGGACCTTCGGGAGCTTGACTTCTTTCGAGAATTGTTTTGAGGTGGTCAGTGATCGAGGTGACAAGTCGGATAACCTGTGCGATATAGTTTCGGTTCTTTCCTTTCAGTCGAGTTTTAAACTTTCGTGCGTATGTTGTCAACTGGAATATAGAGGTTTGCAGCTCCGAGAGTGTGATTGTTACCGAATGAATGTTGGATATAGCGTCCATCAAATTATGAGCCTCGTCAATAACAACGACATGACCCTTTATGGATAGACCAAGAGCGTCTCTAGCTGACCGCTGAAGTAACAAGGGATACGGAAGCGTCACGATCTTTCAAGTATTAGCAACGGGTGTCCAGCATACAGGTTCTGTGAGCAACCCACCTCACTATGCTTGGTGACTGAGCGGGACGCGTAGTAGGGACATATTCCAATATTCTTCCCTAATTTCCCTATATCCTCGATATCCTTAACTGTGGCTAGTACGTGATCCCGAAACTGTAAAACCTGCGCCTCATTCTCATTTGACGGTAGGAACGGGCATTTCTGTTCTGCAGTAACACCTGGCTGCTGCATATCTAAGCAGCGTTCACTGATTGCTGTTACATTATCCAAGGAAGACACTCGAGGGTTTATGCACAAATTTTTCCGAGACCCGAGGGATAAGTACCTCACACCTTCCTGGAGTCCATCTGGGTCCGCCAGTCCTTCACAAAAGTCCTTCGGTATGCTCGAAGGTATATTGACTCTTCGTAATTCGCTTGCAAATTGTGTTAATTGGGAGTGTGTCCTCGAGCAGTAAAATATCTTGATATCTTCATCCCCATAATCTTCGTCTTGTCTGGAATGTGCCGAGGATTTGTGTTGGAAACGTTTCAATAACTCTAGCGTGCCAGTGGAAAGGCCACTTGAATAATCAGTCTGTTTCTGTGAGGAACTCTTCTCTTCGCCTTCGCTGTCGTACTCATCCAATGCGAAATTATCCTCGGTCTGTGCATCTGAAGCCCTAGAAGGCACATCGAGCTTCTAAGCCGGCATTTCAGCAAGGAATTTGCCTCCTCAAGAAACTGATAGCTACCATACCTGTCGTTTGCGCGGTCCGCTCGAGTTCTCCAAAGCAACTTTTTGCTTCTCTTCGTTACTTCTTGCTTTTGCCAATCGTACCTCAAGTTCTTTCCTTTTTTCCGAAATAGCGCGACTGGATTCCCGTTTTGCATACTCCAGCATCCATTCCGGTTCACTGTCATCACCTGTGAGATTATGTATTAGACCAGATCCCTGTAATGCCTAAATGATAGGCTAACATGTAGTGTTGTTGACAGTTTCCTGGAAAACTTTGCGTTGATGGTCTCGTAGCCAAGTCAAAGAGCCGCATATTATGCTCAAAGATTTTCCCTGGTGCAGACAAGTCTCAGTAATTGAACAAGTGCTCATTGTCAGCATGATATTTAGTCTTTCGCTAATCTACATTTGGTTACTTCTACAACGGCAGATATCCACCAAGAATGGAAGTAGAATCAACAACTAGTCCAAAGTTTAACTCACAGTGCCTATATCACCAGGGGCGTCAGAAGAGCCTCAATTCAAAACGAAAGGCCAACTTACCAGTAGGGGACTCAAAGACAGCGACTTTACCATTTTCGATACAAGAGTACAAGGCCCGCATGAACTGGAGCTGAATGTCATATGGCGAATAAGGATGGTGGAACTCTTCTGCCTGGAGTTCCATGATTCTTGTAGGAGACAGCGGTCACACGTTCAACAGGTATTACGGAGTAGTACATCAGAGGCTCAAGCTCAGTATGGGTCCAATGTGCTAGCCGAAGAGGAGCAGGGGCAAAGGGAAACGAAAAGGAAAGGGAAACCGATATTAAAAAAAAAAAAAAAAAAAAAAAAAAAAAAAAAAAAAAAAAAAAAAAAAAAAAAAAAAAAAAAGAGAGAGAGAAAGAAAAGAAAGGGGGGCGGGGAAGATGATACTACTACGTAGTAGAAAGCCTGGGCAATAAAAAGAGGTGAAAATGGGGGCGGTAAGATAAGTATCTTTCATACTTCGTGCTGTCTGCGACTCCGGAGTACTAGGCACTCTGTGTCCACTGTCCATAGTAGACTCCATAGCACACACATACAGGTCACACACCTACTTTACTCCGTATCTATCCATGATAACACCAGTTCATAATAATATCGAGACCTAAAGACGCACAAGGAAGACTACGGAGTACGTCCTCCGTATGTTTTCAACATGAGGCTGGGAAGAGCGGAAGAGCGGAAGGGCTGTTATTGCGGTCTCTGAAGTTGCTTCCAAAGAAGCAACGAATACTACAGAGCACGAATCTTCAATACTAGTAGGCAATCATATGCCAAGAAGTGCCAAGTTTTCTTTTAAGATAAAACAAAAATATACTCTGTACTCTGTATGAATTATTTAACACAGGAGAATTTGCCCATTATGTACCCATCTCTATCTAAAAGATGATTATGTGCTCCATACTGGTCTATCGTTCAGTAGCAGTAATAATTTTGTTTCTTACTTGCCGTTCTAGGGTGACAAGGGCACATGGTAGGCTTGGTTCTATGCATGTATGTACTTTACACAGGTACCAAACTGCCAGTACCAGGTAAGCTGACATTTCCCTCTACAGAGTACCATAGAGGGGGAAAGGATGACGAAAGTCAAAAATACTGTCCAATTTATAGTAATTAATTATCAATTTCTTCTTACCCCACCCAGCCCATACTAAGATACGTACGATACGTCTGTGATTCAACACTTGGGACCCTCCTCCATCTCTCCCCCATCCTCCATTCGATTTTCGCTCTTTCGTCTGACAGTTCTTACTGGGTACACTCCTGTCACCAGTGGGTTTCCTGATATCTCTCTCTTTGTCGCTAGATAACGAGCAGGTCCCCTGAAGTTCTTCCGACGTGTTCTCGCCGTCTTGCCTGGGTCCTTCGGCAATAAAACTCCCCCCACAGATGGCCCTCTTTATTTTCTTTTTATTCCCTTTTTGATTACGTACCAAAGAACCGTTGAGTCTGGAGAGCCTAATCGTATTATTAGCTCTAGTCTGACTCTCAAACCCAAAATAATTGGTAAGACCAACGAAGGACAAGAACGGAAAAGAAAAGCCCAATAGTCCAGGGAGTTCTCTTAAATTATTTGTCCTTTTCTGGGGGGTGGAGGAAAAAAAAAAAAAAGAAAAGAAAAAGAAAAAGAAACCTCTCGAAGAAAAGAAGAAAAAATTAAATTATTAAAGAGGAAGAGAAGAAAATACGCCGACAATGAATAGACCACCGCAAGGTCGCGGTCAGCCAAGGCTGGGAGCTACATGGTATCCAGGGGGTCGGGATGACTTTTACATGCCAGAAGTTATATCCCCTTCTCCCCAAAGGTAAGACAGCCCCCCCCATGCAGTTGTTGATTTGGAAAAGGAAGGGGAAAAAAACAAGAAAGAAAGAAAGACATCAACCGAAACAGGAAATCTTCTACAGTTATACCTGCTTGTTGGCATCTTTATTTTTCTAATTTTCTTCCCCCGCTCCCTACAGTGGATGGGTGTGTTGCTAACCTGGTCACACTTTATCTTACCAGCAGAGTCATGCCTGAAGTTCCGGAGACTATGCAGGACAATATTGCCCACCTCGAGCATGAAGCTCGAAACCCTCATCGTAGCCAATATGCTCCTGTACAATACGATCGGTCTCATTTTCCCGAGAGGACCTCTTCCGCCGCTGTAGTCCAGGGACAGCCCATCACTGCCGGCTACGAGGATACTGCCCACTACGAACAATCCGCCGTTTACGATACCATGGAATCTCCTAATTTTTCGCCGTTCCCTATCCTACGCAACCCCCCTCCAAATGTGCCCCCCACCGATGAGCAGAGAGAAGCGAGCTTGGAGAGGGCTCGGATGGCAGTACTTTCCTCCAATGACCCCGAAATGCAATTGGCTTGGGCCCAGGACGCCCTGGCTTATGTCGAGGTCGCCGTACAGAATGAGGCTCGTCTGTCTCTAATCCAACCCCCGCGCCCCCAAACTCCACAAGTGGAGCATCAGTTAAAGGTCGATGCGATGAACATCGTCAATTTCTTAGCCGATCAGCACCATCCCAAAGCCGAATTCATCAAGGGGATGTGGTTGGAATTTGGGAAATTTGGATATCGCGTTGATAAAAAGGAAGCATTCAGAGCTTATTCAAGAGCTGCGGAGAAAGGCTATGCCAGGGCTGAGTATCGCATGGGGATGCAGTTCGAGAGTTCTGGTGAGCCCGAAAAAGCCATCCGGCATTACGAGAAAGGCGTTGCTCTTGCCGATTCTGCTTCTTTTTACGTACGTTACATCTCCATCACTGATTTATATGGCTCGCGCTAACTGCTTGAGGTTATAGCGCCTGGGGATGATGATCTTGCTGGGCCAGCATGGACAACATCAAGATTATCAAATGGGTCTTGATTATATCCAGCTAGCTGCGCAATCCTGCGACGAGAATGCGCCTCAGGGTGCCTATGTGTGTAGTCCCCTGAAACCACCTTACACACTATCCAATCTGACTCGGTATCCTGCAGGTTTATGGCATGCTTCTGGCACGGGAGCTGCCCCAAGTGAGCGTCCCGGAGAATTACCTTCCCCTTGATGTTAATGCCGCTCGTGTAAATATCGAGAAAGCTGCATACCACGGATTTGCTAAGGCCCAAGTCAAGATGGGCGCCGCATATGAACTGTGTCAACTAGGTTGCGACTTTAACCCGGCGTTATCTTTGCATTACAACGCATTGGCTGCCCGACAAGGAGAGCCAGAAGCGGAAATGGCCATCAGTAAATGGTTCCTTTGTGGGCATGAGGGTGTCTTTGAGAAGAACGACGAGTTGGCATTCACATACGCTCAGCGTGCAGCTCAGAGCGGCTTCCCAACTGCGGAATTCGCCCTGGGATACTTCTACGAAGTCGGTATCTTCGTGCAGGTTGATATCAAGGAAGCCAGAAGCTGGTATGCCAAGGCTGCGGCAAACGGAAACAAAGATGCTACCAGTCGAATTGACAGTATCTCACGTTCGAAGACATTGTCCCGAAGGGATCATGAGCAGGTTGCTATCGCTCGAATCAAGTCACGCTATGGCTCTCACCAGCGCAATGAATCCGTGCAATCAGCTTCGGAGAATCTTGAAATGCCCGATCCTTCACGGATGAGTCTTTCAGATAACCCCCCGCCAAGTGCCCCGTACCCCGACCGGCCACCCTCCAGGGCTCGGCCAGTGTACCCGCCAGGCTACTCGGTGCCTGACCCACGGCCAAGTTCAGCATTTGGCATCAACCCTAACATTCGCACCAGCGCTCCTAACTATAACCGTGCGGCGTCTTATGGACCTGGGCCGATGGGGTATCGCTCTCCTGCCCCTGTGACACCCACCACCAACGGTCCAGCAAGCCCCACGTCAGCAACACCCAAGCTAGATATTGGCTACTCCGCACCGATTGAATCTCCAAACTCAAGACGGCCCCAACGCCTTGACAGTGCACCGCCTGATCGGCGGCCCGTGAGGACGCCTGTTTCCGCCCAAGGCGGCCCTGTGGGCTCCCCGAAGCCAGTGACCTCACCGTCTTCTGCAGTGTTTCCCCAGCGTAGTGAATCCATGCCGCCTCCAGGAGCACCTATAGCATCCTCGACAACACCAAAACCGTCATCTGTGTCAGCCTCGATCAGCCAGAAGCCTACAGCACAACCAGCCAAGTCTCAAAGCGGTTTACCGGGTAAAGGCCCAAAGACATTTGAGGAGATGGGAGTCCCCACTGCACAAAAGGACAATGATTGCGTATGCCTTTCATCCGTTTCGTTAGCCTTTTATTATGTTACGAAGACTGACTCCGTCATAGATTGTCATGTGATACCCATGAGTCGTAGTAGACTCTGCACCATAGTTCACTTGTTTTTTATCCGGGAAGTTACTTGCGGGCAGGGGTGATAGAGGATTCAGTTCGTCATCATGCGCTCCGATAGCGAAAGACTCGAGACATAGGAAGGGTTTGGTTGGCAAGCTGGATACCCCCTTCTTTGACTTACGCCTTCTTAATTGTACTGCGTCCCTTATCCCCTATATTGATCTTGCATTCTAGTTGGCCATCGATTTACAGTCCTTTGTCTAAACATATTTGGAATAATTAGACGCTGGCAGTGTTTTGTCGAGGCGTTTTTCTTTCGCCCATCCTTGTGGGTTCCTGACCATTTTACATGGATATTTATAAATGACAGTGTTCCCCACTCTCGTGGGATATTCCACGTGATGCTCGTGTATTTGTATTGCAGAGTAGTGGTAACTGCTTGTAGCATGATCATCATCATCCCCTTCCTGTCCTTTGACTCTCGTCCACCACTACTTGGTAGATGTTTGATCTTCTTCCCATTGCCAGCATGAAACAGAGAGGGCAAAGTGAGACGATGCCGAACAACGGCAGTGAGTTCGTCACGCAGGTTATGGATTCGCGGGTATTCTAACCCCAAGCAGCTGTCAACGATGGACTTACTTTGGTTCTGGACTATCTCCGTAGGCCAATATCCTTCCTTCAGTCTTTTTCCATACAGCCTAGCCTTCTTATAGGCATGATAGACTGATCTATCACTCCACAAACCTAGGGAAGCAGAAGTAAGGGTCCAATCGAACACTGAAACACGATACTCTTGTCTCTCCTTCTTTCTTTGACAGTCTATTAGCTAATCCAGAAGAGCAGTCGTCCCTATTCAGTAAGTGGTTCCGGGAGGATCCATCAGACAAATGCCTCGCGGCTGATGACATATAGGCTACAGACATTTCAGCAAATTTGCAGAACAAGGTCACCAAAAGTGAGCAAACCCCATACCAAGTTCGGACCTCAGTAGACATCTTAATAAAGGCGCACCCCGAAGCATACGCAGCAAAGGCCCTGAGGGAGCTACATCAGAATCGGAAAATTGAAGGAAGAGCATCCGGTTAGTGAATCCTGTATGCTTGTATCACCGAGGGGGAGTGGGTGATGGTGAACATAATGGAGTTCTAGCACTAACTTCGAGTTTAGGAAGACAGGTAGTTTATCATGCTCTACAGAAGGGGACCGATGAGAGCACATTAGAGGGGGTGGTGGTTCTGGAAGATCACATTCGCAAGTTGCAGGAGCATCTTACCGACCTCAAAAGCTATGCAAAAAGGGCGCGAGCTGAGCTGACAACTCTGCGTGCGACACCCTTGGCCTTTGACCTCCAAGAGAGCATCAACCAACTTCATGTGGAAAAGGAGACTACACTCGCAATACTGACTCAAGCCCAGGGCACCAGTGCAGGACAGGTAGATGAAGACAGAACTGTCACGAAGAGAGTATGGGAATGCTGGCAGAAGCGTGTTAAGTTGCGGAGGCAAATATGTCGCGATTTGTGGGGAAGATGTGTAGAGATGGTGGATAAAGATGTGACTCGAGAAGAGCTCTGGGTATTAATATCTGGTTAATCACCTTTGCCGAGACTGCTCACGGTAACGAACAGGGATTCCTGGGGCTAGAAGGGCCTTCGATCGTCACTTGATTCCAATATTTGTATACATGGGTGAAGGTGATGACCCTTCGCCACCTCTCGTCAGTTTCCTTTCCAGTGTGCAGTGCTTAACGTACCATGTCATACAAATTTATATCGCTAACGGGAGTACCTACAGTACATCTACTCCGAAGTACTATAAAGTATGTACCGAGTGCCCACATAGATGTGGGGAAAGGTTGTGTTACTGACTGGTTCTTCCACCTGAAAGCCTTGGGTGATGAAATAAATGATGGAGTAAGTGGGACACGGGGTCTGAAGAAAGCTATGCTCCACCCAAGCATTGTCAGATGTATAGACATTGAAATAGAGGAACCATCCCATAACTTTCAGTGTCCTCGCGCGCGATCTTTGATAATATATTATACCACAGTTCTAGTGACAATCTGCTGGGTTACCGTATATTGTCTGTGTTTCTGGTAGTGCCATGCGCCTTAATTTTATCAAGTGGAAAAAAGGACGAAGAGAAGAAAAGAGACTATTGATCTTACTCTAGAGTGGAGGCGAAGAACTATCATACTATGTGGGCATATAAGGGATTGTTCTTGATGTAATCCTCATTCATCGCACCTGTTCTTCTGGTTGATAATATATCGAAATCACATACTCGGAGGCACTTTGACTTGAAAACTACGCCAGTGTTTACTGTGGTACGCAATGAGGTTATCAAATCCGTACCGTTGGCTGTGAGACGGTACTACATACCTAGTAAGAGATACGCATACAAAAGGCAAAGGCATAGCACTCCCATAAGTATTATCAGTCGAGGCCGCCTTCGATGAGATCAGGACAGATTCTCAATCTCTCCTGTTTCTTTCGTCTCTTTCTCTTGTCCCTTTCCCCCCTCGTTTTGCCTTTTTTTTAATTTTATTTATTTATTTATATTTATATTTCATTTAATTTCCCCACTCGCTTCAACAGCTTGGTACGAGCAGAAAGGAGGCGTTGACTCTCGGCAATTCGTGGTCCAGGATGGGCGGGTTGATTGCCTTGGAGTTAAGGTGTCAACGACCTAACTGTATGAAAGTCGCAAACTCAACCAACGGTCAATACCTTTTCCACATCAGTATCTTTTTGTCCATTTTTTATTTTTCTTGTTTTTTCTTATTCTTTCATTTCTCTCCCTCTCTCTCTCCCTCTCTCTCTTTTTTCCCACTCCTCCTCCTATTCACTCAATTTCTGTTGTTATCAACTTTGACCGCTCTCAAAAACGAGCCTTTCTCATTTAACTACTTTCTTAGTACCATTATTATCTCCACCCCGCCCGATAGTAAACCCCTCCGGATTTTGTGGGCTTCCAGTCAGTAGTCCGCCTTCTCTTTCTCTCGGCCATGCAAGTGTCGGCCTCTCGCAATACTCCTTCTCAACCTCCACCTTCCCACACACCCCGTGCCCATAATCGCCTTTCAGGCGACATGAAAAACCGTGCTCCACTTCCGGTTCCCTCTGGAACTATCCAGAACGGCCATTCTCGCAATCTCTCAGGCTTTGACATGGCTGCTCGTAGCCCTCCCAATCAAAGCAGTAAGACGCTCTGCACCGTACCTATTGAGCTAGAAAGAAGACCAACGACGCTCCTCATGCGGACCCTATTACCTGCGAAGCGAAGCCAGTGCTAACCTACATATGGTGGACAACAGATACTAAGCACGTCCCCTGCAAATTCTTTCGTCAAGGAGCTTGTCAGGCGGGACCTGCCTGCCCTTTCCTACATTCTACCGATGCTGCGATTGACTATGCGCCGTGTAAATACTTCACGAAGGTATGGATCCCCAGAAGAAACTTCGACTTTTTCATGCCTGGAGGTTACCCTTGCCCCGTTTCCCCCTTCACTGGGGAATAGATATGGCTGATCACATGTGCTATGGTCCTAGGGTAACTGCAAGTTCGGAGCTAAGTGCGCGCTGGCGCATATTCTCCCTGATGGCCGACGGGTTAATCGACCCAACCCAGGTGTAGGAATGGGCGGTAGTCACCTCAATTTGGGTGGCCGGGTTAATCCCCAAGCGTATGTGAATCAAGATTCAGCTTTGACGAATTCCGTCCTCTCTCAACAGCGAATGAATGGTCAAGAGCCCCGATATGGCCCTCAAGTTCATTCTCAAGAGGAGTATGCTGCCATACACTCTCCACCACAACCATATGACGCCATTCCCACCATCGACGCGGGCTTGGCTTCAGATGCCGGTTCTAAGTATGGTTCTCCGATTGATGACATGCGATTCCCCATGTCTCCAAATCACCGTCATTTAACTGCACTTGATGCACCCCTCCCTGCCTCCTTTGATAGCCAAGGAATATCACACGCCGCTCGTTATGGACCGGTAGCCGCTTCTATGCCATCGAAATTCGGACTGGAACTATCCCCACCGGCCCAAAGGACCGGCGCCCCCGCCGATGCGCTCCGAAGTCTCCGCGATACAGCATATGGATCGGATTTAAAGAAGCCTCCTTCTTTCATGGGTTCTTCCCCTCCTGGAATTCCTGAGGATGGCCCGGGACCTCGATTTTTGCATTCACAGCGATCGGTGAAACCACGAATGCTCTCTGCGAGTGTTCCGCGGCTTACCGCCTTAGATGATTGGGATGACAGCAATTTCCCGATGGAGGAGGACTACCTGCCTATCAATTTGCACGACGATGTTCTGACGCCGCAGGAGCGGCTACGACGTCTTTCACGCACAGATTATGAACCTGGTTCAAGTCATCGTGATCTCAGTGGGCTTGGTATGACTGGTACTAGTCTCTCAAAAGTCGGTTCGCCTCTGGCATCCAGCCCCTCCAGATTTGGTGCCCTTTTTGCGAAACAGCGACAGAAGAAGGAGGAGGATGCACATGGCACCTCATTACCACAAGTCGGATCTCCTCTCCGTGAGTCTTCGTTAAACTTTGGCGCAAGTCCCAGCCTTGGCCCCATCGGAAGCCGGCAAACGTCGGGTGACGTCTCGCCCTTTGTGTCAACTCCTCGGCAACAGTCAACGTCCATGATATCGCAACAACTTAGCGGTATGTCACTTCACCCTGGCGCTGCCCGTCATTCTTCATCAGTGGGAGCTAGTGGCCGTCTCGACCGTACTGTCTCGTCGCCTGTCAGTACCAGCAGGATTGATGAGGAGCAAGGCGACTTGGTTTTCTCCATGGAAGAAGAAGAGAACAACAAGCGGAGTAGTATTTCCTGGAGTACCAGTAAAGCTGAGTCCCACGACGACGATTCTACACCGACGAATAGCTCAGGCTTTCAGCCCTGATATCCTTTGGGGAAAGCGCAAAACCAGGATTTGATAGTCACCCATTCTGATACCAACTTATTAGAAGTCATAATCTTTCATCAGGGTAAACAAAAGCCACGCCAAATGAGGGGAAACATGAGGAAAGCAGCTTTATAATTTGGCACCAGCCCACGACTCCCCTCATGGGATTTTACTGAAGAACATATCAAATGCCTGGCTTCAGCCACATTTGGTAGACATTTTGCATAGAGCGACTTAAAATAAGCGATCTCCGAGAATCTCTGTATAACCTTCTTTCGTCTTGCATATTTTTGGCTTAGACCAGGTTCGGGATAATTCAGGGGTGTGGTCGGAGTTTACAGAGAATTGGAAAGGCTCAATATTCTGCTGATGATTCGTATCATATTTATTTTTTTTTATATCTTTCGGGCCTTCCGGAATTTTACGTCTTTCACGACATGGCAATTGAAGGCAGAGAACTAAGAGAGAAGAGAGTGAATGTTCTATTCTAATTGCGAAATGCATGTATGTCTATCTAGTTTTCTCTTATTATCCCCTCATCTTTCAATTATCTTTTCTTTGCAAGGTCTCTCTCATCTCATGTAATCACTCAGTCTTATCAATCATGCGCTTCGTGCCTGCTTAAATGTGATTATGGCTGTCGGAGAACAGTGTGTACATATTTCACAGGATTTATGCGCATGAAGATATTCATAAAATCACCCACACAACCTTTTCTATACAGAGCATAGTTTCTGGCAAAGGTATCTGCATAGAACTGCATGGTCAGACAAAGCTCCAATCAATTATCAGGCTATCAATCACGCTACGTGCATGAAGGTGGATACTGAATCAGCTACCTACATAATAAGCCATGTCCCGCGCAAAGAAGAAAGAAAAGGAGCCAAGAATCACCAAAGGCTTGCATTATTTTGGGTAACTAAGCGAAAACAGCAATTGACTGATTGGTTTGACAACTTGTATTCCCCTTCCTGTTTAATAAAACATAGAGTCAAATCTCGTCCATGCACATGATATCTTCTTTGAGGGGGACAAAGGTGGCACTCCTCGACTGCGCCTGAATTTGCCTCATCTTCTCCTTATTAATACAGTCGGCAAGGACCCTCTGCTCAAGAGCACTGGAATTTGCTTGCCTAGCCTGTTCCGCTTGGTCATGATATAAAATCTGATAGATCATCTCTGTGCCGGTCCCAATGTGATCTGCCATGGTGCCGATGGCCTTCATAGTCAGAGACTCGATTCTAACAGCAAGCGACGCTTCCTCGTCAGCCCGCTGACGCTTTACTCTCTGATCTTGCACGGCTTGCTCTTCTATTTCTTTGCGCTTCTTCGCTTCGACTAGTTTCCGGCGCTCCTCTTTAACTGCTAGATATTTGAGCGAGTGGCCTAGCTTCTGTTGGAGAGGTGGTACAATATCCAGAGGCGGCGAAGAGAAAAATAGCACGTGGCCTTGATTGTCACAATGGAACTGTTCTCGAATATCTTCCGGGATAGTAGCATTAGCAGCATCGCTCAAATGGAACACTTCGATCGGACGAGGGGCATTGGGGTTGTACACTGTGCCCGGTGGAACTTGTATGCGGTTCGTCTGATAGGGTGTATATGGTGCTGGTTGAACAGCTGCGTAAGGATGAGAGACACCCGGTGTCTGGTAGGAGGGATGTGGACTCTGCTGTACAAAACCACTGGAGCGTCTCTGGATTGCGGGCTGATAGGTTTGGGTAGGAGGTAACTGAGGTTGCTGATAAGCCGCTGGAGGAACTGGTGCGGGCGCGTTTTGAGCAGTAGGGATTGGTGCAGCTGGCGAGCGCGGTGGTGCAGGAGTGGTTCCGGCTACAGTAGTGTTGCCTTGACTATCCACACTAGGCCGCTGTGGAGTTTGGCTGATCGAAGCCTGCCGAGCAGGAGCAGAAGGCAGATTCTGTGGGGGTAAAGACGGGGGTGGAGAAGGTGTGGGTTCGGGTGGTGGGGACTCCTAGGGGAGGTAATGTCTGTTAGCTACAATAATAATTCACAGGGGCAATTGAAATTGACGTTGCAAGACAGCAAACTCACATTCTCATCTCGCGGACGGCGATGAACAGCACCAACAATTGGCGGCGCGTTCTCGGCTCCCCATGTTGGTTTTGGAAGATCATCTGTCTCCTTTGCATCGCTCTTCAGCAGGTGCTTAATAGGGCTTGAAATCTTCTTGATCCGCCGAGGAACATCGAATAAGTCCATTTCGTAATCCTTCTCTCTCACCTCATCCGGGAGGCAGCTTGCCCAAGTTTTAATCTTGTTCAGCTTGTGCTTCTCTTCGTTATACCGAGCTTCACAGACATATACCTCCTTATCAGGAGGAAGGCCCCGGGGTCGTCCACGATTGTAGCGAGTGAAAAACATCACAAAACAGCGATCTACCACTTCCTCGATCCGATGATCTCGGTACTGGCCAGTCTTGACCACCTCATTTGGATAGAAGTGCTTCTCAAGATGGTGGACAGTTTGCTCGGGACGGTAATACCAACAGGCATTGACCCATTTGTCGCCCTCGGAATCCTGCCAAGTACGGTAGACCTGGGCCACGATGGGTTTGGTTACATCATTAGGGTTTTGTATATGGACCCAATCACCAACCTTCCATAGCTCGCCTTTGTAAAGAATCCCGTCCGGTAATGGCAGACGTCCATCCTCCATCAAGTACTCACTGTCTGGCTTCTTTTTCTCAATCTCAGCGAGCTTCCTTGATTCCACTTGCAGGTCCACAGCATCTTTATAGATTTGACTCTCCGGTTGGTTGTATACTTTGGCGTTGTTGAACATCAAGTCCATATCCCTCATGAAGTGATCGACGGAGTTATACTTCTTCCGCTTAGACTTCCGCTTAATGATATCAATAGCGATTGGCTCTTTGATCTCCACATAATAGTCAGGATATGTAGCCTTATCGGGCAAACGCTCAAAATGTCGAACTTTGAGTGCGCCGCTTGGCCCTTTCAGCTTTCGAATCCCCTTCAAAACTGCTTTGATCCTGGCTTCCATCGGTGTGTCCACACGGGGCGGCCGTCCTCTTTTTTTTCTTAACTCAGGATCGTTAGACTTGTGGCCGTCATCCTTTCCACCATCTCGTTTGCTTCCAGGACGAGGGCCTCGTTTTTTCTTCCGCCGACCATCATCGTCCGAGTCCTCTTCATCCTCGTCGTCCTCGTCGTCTTCCTCCTCTTCCTCCTCCTCCTCTGGAAGAGGGTCTGCCTCGGGGATCTCGCCGAGATCGGGGAGCTCAGCAACTTCTGGGGGGATGACCCCCTGATCTACTAGTTTCCGGAATTCGGCGATAAATACATCCTACAGACCAACATCAATAAAATAGTGCAAACTACAGTGAGGGCTTGAATGTTCTTCTGCAGACCTTAATCACGAGCGCGTCTTCATACGCTTGAGACTTGGGACGGTTGTATGTCTGCGCATTATGAGGAATCTAGGCGGAAAGGTATCATGTTAGCATTGGCAAGCTCTAGTACATCGCGGAAGCAATCGCTCCGAAGAGAAGGACGGCCGTTGATTTACCAGAGCACAGTCTCGCACGAACAGAGAGAATTTCGTATATTCCCTCTTGTTGATCTTTTGCTTTAGAATGCTAAGAGCCATAGGCTCTTTGATAATATCATAATAATCCGGGACATTGCGCTTATTAACGCTGCGTTGGAAAAGCTTCGACGGATCATGACCACTGGAGGTTGAAGGCGGGAATAGTGAGCTTCGCAATGTGACTAGCGTATCATCAAAGGAAATTACTGCAACTTACTCTTCTTCCCTGAAATCGTAGATGGCCATGACAACATCCATCATTGACCTCCATTGTTCGTCGGTAACACCCTCAGCCGTCGCAGCGCTATCACCTTTCCCATCGTCCTCGATTGACCTAACGAGCTCTTCAGGTGTAGATTGGAGTTGCGACGGCTCCGATTTCTTCTCCATGTTGTAGAAGACCACGGCCGCAAAGACCAAGGACCATCAATGACACTTCAAGCAGACCAGCGGAAGCTCCTGGAATTACTCTGTCAGTGAGAAATGATGAGAAGAGTGCACAAATCGCAATAGAGGAGGTTCGCGCAGCTGAGTCATCAGGTACAGACATGATTTGTTACGTTACGTTTTCTTACAAGTAACGTTGTAACTTATTGAACTTGGTACAAGTTCATACGACTTTGGTAAGGTAAGCCATAATATACTCTGTACAAAGTTTGCATATACTATGTATATACAATACACATAGTACTTCCGATACACAAGGTAATATCTTTCTAAGTAGAGTACTAAAATGACACCCCAAATTTCCAGTGATACAACCATATTAAAGCTCTGCATATACATACGTATTTTCATACATACATAACTACTGACTACATTTAGAGTACTAGAAGGAGATCAATAGGTGCTCCGTATTAGGACATGAAATGCTGTCCATAGGTTTTTGATACATTTATAGATACTTACATTACCTCTCCGCAGACAATAATTATGCACTCAGATATGGTTTACCATCTGCATGCTACCAAGAGTACTTGGCATGCTGTCTATTGTTGTACATACAGATATATGTATACTCCGTAGTATCAACCCAGTGTCTCCCCACATTGAAAAAAAACGTAGCCTGTCCCGTCAACTAGCGTGTCCTCATATCATCTTCCATTATGTATGTGGGGTTTCGAGTACAATCACTAATCTGATAAACAAAAGTTGGCTATTGCTGTTTCTTCCTTTCTTCCGCAAATAATTGAGAATATAATTGTTTCGGTTAATCGTCCGAACCTCTATTGTTGGCTATACACAGAGCTAAACATACTGGTGCTGGGTATATATGAGATATTAGTAGCGATAGTATGAAGGAAGGCACCTGAAGAGCTCTTCCCCCTCTTTCTTTGTGTTCCCACTTCGCCCCACTAGTAGGTGAATGCTGTTTTTTTAATCCTCATTACCGATACCAGGCACTACCATCTTCTCAAATCCGCTACTACTCCGCGCTGCTTTCCTTTCTTTCTTCCCTGCCTTGTTACCAAGCTCTGGTATACCAGTACCCACTCCTGAAGATGAGATTTCGTATCCGTGGACCAGATGGACAGTCCACTATCACTCTTGATGATGGTGCTACCGTGGACGAACTTCGAACTCAGATTGTGGATAAGACTGGATTGACATCCTACGATGTGAAATATGGATACCCCAATCTCAAACATTTTCTGCTGGATGAGCTTCAATCAAACCAGAAGATCTCCGATATAGGGTTCAAGCTAGATGGGGAACAACTGCTGATAACTAAGAGAGAAGCACCCCCCAGTAATGAGGGGTTAATACCCATCTCGCAAGAGCCACCCAAAAAGCATCAGACATCACACACATCTAGTGATGCTATCTCAGATGATCCACCCGAAATTCCATCTCTTGAGCATGCGGGTACCTTTGTCTTACGCATCATGCCTGATGACAATTCGTGTCTGTTCCGCGCTGTGGGCAGTGCTCTCATGGGGGGTATGGACGCGATGAATGAGTTGAGGTCTGTTGTCGCACAAACTATTCAACAAAATCCGGGCCTCTACTCGGAGGCGGTGCTGGAGAAGAAGCCAGACGACTATTGCCGCTGGATACAGAACGAGGATTCGTGGGGTGGAGGTATCGAACTTAGCATCCTCAGCAAGCATTTCGATATCGAGATTTGCTCAATCGATGTACAAACGCTCCGCATTGATCGATTCAACGAAGGCCGACCAACTCGCTGTATCTTAGTTTACTCAGGTATACATTATGATACCGTTGCGCTATCTCCGTCCGATCCTCCTTTCATCCATGCGTATACACCTCCTGAGTTTGACACCAAGGTCTTTGACGCTGCAGATCCTTTTGTTCTAGAAAAAGCGCTAGAGCTCTGTAAGGTACTGCAGAGTAAGCACTACTATACTGATACCGCAGGTTTCCGTATTCGCTGCAATACATGTGGTGGGGTTTTCATTGGAGAAAAAGGCGCCACTCAGCACGCAACGCGGACTGGCCATTACAATTTTGGGGAGGCCAGTTAAGATTAACGGTAGCAGTAAGCGAGATGAACACTCAAATAGTACATAGTGCCCGAATAGAATCATGAGTGATATACACCACCATCGGAATACGACCGGTCGTACGATCTACACGGCGACTCTCTAAAGCCTTTTTGAACAAGGATGGAAACGCACGATATGTGAACCAGGCCTAAGGCAATTGTGGTGATTCTGTAGTCGATATATAGGACTGGTGGCTGGGCGACCTTCTTAGGACCAGAATACCTCTAGAGCTCATTAAGAGGATATCATTATCATAAATTGTTCTGGATTTTATATCATTGCCACCTCATCCGCCTCGTCATCTTTGTCTGCATCGTCCTCCTCTACAGAGTCAGCACTATCTTCGGGATTCCCTCCCCATTCAACGTCATGTTCTATGGGGTCGGTAAAGAACTCGTGTTGTAGGGCATCTCTGGCGCTCAATCGTTTGTATGGATCCAATTCCATGAGGCCAGCCAGAAGGCGAGTTGCTTGTTTTTCGCTCTCAGTCAACTCCTCCACACAGCTGGCCCACTTTACAAGCTTCTCCCAACTATATCCTTTCTCACCAATTGTTGGAATATTTGTTTCAAATATCTGCCCATGCATAGCTGCCGCCGTCTTCATGCGACGCGTCCCGAAAATACTAGCCATTTCTATCGTAGCATCAACATCATCGGCAGAGTTGAAGAAGGGAAAGCGACGACCAAGCAATGTTAAAAGGATTACTCCTGCCGACCACATATCTATCTTCGTCGTCTGGGATGTGCACTTGAAAAGAACTTCTGGCGCACGGAAACCCCGGGTTCCTGCCCGGTTAGCACGTCTCGATGGCCTGGAGTCGTTCTTCGGGTAGCCGGCCGACAACGTCGACGTTGAGCAATGGGTGGAGTAGTAGCTCTGTAGCAATCGACTGCGACGGACATAGCTTGGGTTGGCACATAGACACGTGCCGGTATACTCAGACCCCTCGCGCTACACCAGGTGGTCAGATAATAAGGACATGATGACATTTTGCTGTGGGGAGGTTTCTTTTTCTTTCTTGCTTGCTTTCTTTCTTTTTTACCTATCCCCCTCCTGACTATAGACTTACCTCAGCCAGACCAAAGTCCACCAAGACACCCTCTCGAATTTTTGGGTTATAAAGGAAATTGCTGCGGAATCATTCGATCGTCAGCATATCAAAGCAAAACAGATCCACAAACGCATCTTACGTCGGTTTAATATCGCGATGGAGGATATTGTGTTTATGGACAGAGTGCAAGGCGGTAAAAAGGGACCGAAAGTAATGTCGCATATCCGCAACCAGAAATGTGCGGTATTGTATACGGAAATCGGTATGAGGAAAGAAAGGCAAGACAGCCACAACCTGATCCTGGTATCGAAAGGCTGTGATTAGAGGGCATACGGATCGACAACCTCGGAGGTCATGTAGCAGCTCGAGTTCATTTTGAATACGAAATGGACTGCTAGTCACGTATATCTTTTTTAGGGCAACATAACGAGGTTTCTGTCGCTTGGCAGCTAAGGATGATCCACGCTCTCCCTCTACACGTCGCCTTTTTGAGGGAGGGCTCATCCAACTGTCGCATTGTTGACCTTGAAACATATCCCAATCGTTCCTGTAATGATCATATAACATATCTTCCGCTTTGTACACGGTAGAGAAAGTGCCTATACATTTGTGATGTGTCAGTCAAGGGAAGCCGAACGCAAAGCAGCAAATGAATATGAGTATTGCCGTACCTTCACCAATTCTATTAACTAAGCGAAATCTATCCGAGATTCCGGGAAAGGTATCCTCAAGTTTCTTCATATCCTCTTTCACTGAGTCGTCGACTTCTTCTTCGCCCTGGAGGTCTTCATCTTCATGTTCCATCACAGATGCATCGCTGTCCGTAGCAGCACCATCATCTCTTGTGTATCTAGGCCCTGCTAGCGCGCGTGATGGCCTCGAAGGGCCCGGCTTCTGTACCTCAAAAATACCAGTAGGCACTGGGTGGAGAGTGGACATGGTACCACGAAAGCCTCGGTCGCCAGAAGGTTTCTCTGGTTTTAATCAAAGAAGGGGATAATCGTTTGTAAAAGATTCCCATACAATATTAATCTGAGAAGGGCAGAAGGGCAGAAATATAATGGATAGCCGTATGACACGAGGGGCGTTTAGTTCATGGCGCGTATGTGTGTGCGTGGAGGATATCCAATGATGTAGTGTTGCAGTTTCTACGTTTGGTTCATGAACCAGTACCGCGGAACTTGGAGCAAAAGTGTGCAAAAATTTCCCGATTTAGTAAGGTTATGTTTGTGTTTACCTTCTGTCTCCACGATCTACTGTACAGACACTGTGTCAAAGACTGTACCGGATATACTATAGATACATGAAATACACCAGTTGGCGGTTACCTAGGCAGGATTATGGTGGTAGGAAAAGCCCCATATGTTGGGAGTGTGATGTAATATTTTGTATCAAATGTGTATTATTACACTACGATTCAGAGCACTATCTTATCACCGAAGAGGAAAAATACAAACAAAAGCCTGCCGCCCGCATCGACTTATCTTCCGCATTCCCTGTCTCGTCCCTCCAACCCTCTTTTACCCCACGACATCCATTAGCCGTCTAATCCAGCCTTCCAGTTCCCACACACTCGTCGAGGATATCCCTCGCAGTCACTCCCACCATGGAGGGCAGGGCTCAGTTCGATATCAACGAGTCACTTAAGTATTATTTGAGTGACCCTACCTCTGTTCCTACCGTTGATGCTGAACCCGAACTCTTGGAATGTGAAGCCGACCCGGACCAATTGTCCACTGCATTGATTGATAGTGTCCTAAACCCTATTGTCGATGCGATAGCTGAGAACCCGGAAGGTCTAGGCAGGCCGTCCTTCTTCGACTCTTTACAGTTTCTCTTAAAGTGCGCCCGGCCCTCTGATTCACCCCCCGAACTCTTAGCTCGGAAAGAACCCTAATGTTAGCTCAAATTCGCAGGCACTGCTCAATCTTGCCTATAAGGTCCCTGAGCAAGCTTCTCGATCTCATTGTGTCAGGATTATCCGTCGAAGCGGATATTATCCATGGGGACCTCGAGTCCGACGAACCGGATGGCGTCCAACACCATAAGCATTTGCTAGAAATGTATGGTTTCTTACTACAATGGGCGCTTTCTGCTGTGGAGGTCAAGGCCGCAGAGCGACCTGCGGAAGCTGCTCCTGCTCGGAGAGGCGTCGGGAAGTCGGGCCGGTCGAAAGCCAGCATGAGAGATGGTCATTGGGACTGGACAGCCCAGATACAGATTTCCATGGAGACTATGTGCAAGGTCATGAAGCTCAAGCTCAGCAGGATATTTTTGACTACATCAGACCGCGACACATTCGTTAACCTATTTACACGTTCGATCTATCTCATCCTCGAGAGTGAACAGCGAGTAAAGAGTCTGACTATACGCATGCACGCCTTCAAAGTTCTATGTATTGCGGTCAAACATCATGGCCATGCTTTTGGTGAGTGCTCACGGTAATTAAGTTGCTTCAACAGAGCTGACCTAAATGAAGGCGCCCAGACATCTATCGTACAAAGCTTGACATACTTTGAGCATCTGTCCGAGCCTATGGCCGAATTTCTGCACATCCTTGCTGAGCAATATGATTATCCTCAGCTGTCCGATGAGATACTTAAGTACTAAACTCATACACTGGGATTGCTGGGATGACAGCTAATATGTGATAGGGAGCTTGGAAATAAGGAGTTTAATTCCAATGATACACGTGGGCCAAAGTCGGTGTCTGCGTTTATCATAAAACTTTCTGAGCTTGCCCCGCGATTGATCATAAAACAAATGACACTCTTGGCTAAGCAGCTTGACAGCGAAGTACTACTATCTTGCTCTTTCTATCTGGATGATGGCATCTGACTGAGCCACAGTCTTATACCCTTCGTTGTGCGGTGATCGAGGTTTGCGGGAACCTTGTTGCTGACCTCAGTCGGCAAGAAGAGCGCAGTGACAATTACAAGACTCAGATTAATGCGTTCTTCGATGTGCTCGAGGAACGTTTCCTAGATATTAACCCCTACTGTCGATGCCGTGCCATCCAAGTGTATATGAGGATTTGCGATTTGGATCAAAAGTTCCCAAAAAGGCGGCAGGCAGTTGCAGAACTGGCGGCGAGGAGCCTGGAAGATAAGAGTAGCAACGTACGACGAAACGCAATTAAATTGCTCTCCAAGCTGGTGTCCACTCACCCATTCAGTATCATGCATGGTGGACAGCTCTCGTATAAAGAGTGGATGGCCAGACTTGATGCTGTTGATGCCGAACTGAATTCCCTCCGCCCCCCTGAGACACCAGGTTTCGACGGTGGCGAGGCCTCACATGTTGATAGCGAACTCTTAGATGATGCAACGCAGATGCCAGACGATTCCCCTTCTAAAGCACCGCGCATGACTGAAGAAGAGAAGGCCGCAGCGGTAAAAAGGGCCGCTGAGCAAGCCGCAACATCGGAACTGCTAGCGCGGCTTCAGTTGACTAGGAAATACTACAACGAAGCCATTCGGTTTATTGAGGTTTTGCATACTGCCTCTGGAGTCGTGACACAACTACTGTCGTCTAGGAATAAGAGTGAGGCTATAGAAGCCATGGACTTTTTTGTTGTGCTTGACGCATACAAGGTGGAAACATCCCGTAGTGGAATTCGACGAATGCTCCGACTTATTTGGACAAAAGGCAACAGCGACGAAGGGAAAGGCGTCCAGACCCATCTCATTGACTGCTATAGAGGCCTTTTTTTCGAAGCGCCAGATCCTTTTAGCGCCAACGATGCGGCAAATTACGTTGCTCGGAACATGATCAGCCTGACATTTGGCTCTACGCCTGCTGAGCTGACATGTCTTGAGCAACTGCTAAGTACTATGATGAAGGCTGGTCATATTTCGGATGCCGTCATTGCGAAGTTGTGGCAGGTATATGGCGTTCAAAGGAAGGAGATCTCGAAAACCCAACGCCGGGGCGCTATCATCGTCCTTGGCATGCTTGCTCTAGCTGATCCCGACGTGGTAATCAAGGAAATTGAGGTAATGCTGCGAATTGGTCTTGGGAGTCTGGGAATGGCGGACCTTGTTCTTGCGAGATATACATGCATTGCCTTGAGACGGATGGTGCCGGGCCGACAGGCGAAGTCCAAAGAAGTCGGCATTCCCAAACTAACTAATGACCACCCCATCCTTACCCAACTCGCGGCAATTGTCGAGATTGTGTCCGACTATAAAGAATGGTATGGGGTGGCAGAGCAAGCTATTAGTGCCATATACGCACTATCTAAACATCCAGATGTCTTATGCTCTGATATTCTCAAGCGGAAGACCAAGTCTGTCTTCCAGCCACAAACACAACGCTCTTCTTCACAAGGTCCTGGTGATGGGGATGAGAGACGTCCCGGGACAGCTTCGACAGATAGTCCGACCACCAGAAAGTCTTCATCCGCTGTACTCTCCCAGCTGCTTTTTGTTGTTGGACATATTGCAATCAAGCAAATAGTACACCTCGAGTTGTGCGAGCTCGACTTCAAGCGCCGCAAAGCAGAACAGGAGAAAACCAAAGCCTCCACTGCAGCAGCTCAAATGAGCAAAGACCCCACCGAAGATGACGAGCTTGATCTCATCGGCGGAACAACGGAAGATGACTTTACAGATGCCATGGCACACATCCGTGAGCGAGAACTGCTCTATGGGGATAATTCTCTCTTGTCCAACTTTGGCCCGTTGGTTACAGAAATTTGCGCCAACAGCAACACATACCCTGACCGTAACCTTCAGGCAGCAGCAACATTGTGTATGGCCAAATTAATGTGTGTCTCTGCGGAGTACTGCGAGAAAAACCTCCCCCTCTTAATCACTGTTATGGAACGTTCCGAAGACCCAATCGTTCGTAGCAATGCAGTAATTACGCTTGGTGACATGGCTGTGTGTTTCAACCATCTTATTGACGAGAACACAGACTTCCTATACCGCAGGCTCAATGATGATGATGTCTCTGTCAAGCGCACATGTCTCATGACTCTAACCTTTCTCATCTTGGCAGGTCAAGTCAAAGTCAAGGGGCAATTAGGCGAGATGGCCAAGTGCTTGGAAGATGACGACAAAAGAATTGCAGATTTAGCGCGCATGTTCTTCACGGAGCTAGCTAGCAAGGATAATGCAGTGTACAATCACTTCGTTGATATGTTCAGTCTCTTGAGTGCAGAGCGGAACCTTGAAGAAGCTTCATTGAGGCGTATTGTCAGGTTCCTGATCGGATTCATCGAAAAAGTGAGTACTTTAGGTATTCTTGTCTTTCCCATGCACGGCTTCTAATCTTGTTTGTGGCTTTGCAGGAGAAACATGCCCGGCAACTGGCAGATAAGCTGGCTGCTCGACTTCCACGGTGCGAGACCGAGCGGCGATGGAATGATGTAGCCTACGCCTTGTCGCTGCTGCCGCATAAGAATGAAGAGATAACGAAGATAGTGAGTGCGGGGTTTAATAAAGTAGTCGCTGTCAATACCTAGGTCAACGATGTCATTCAACCTGTCGCTTGGGTTTCTTAGAAGTCTTAAGGTGGCGCAACGGTGAATATGGATATGACAGTTATGAGTCATTCAGGAAACTATAGGTGATCTTATGTGAGCTGTATATTGAGTTTATGATTGATCTGATCTCTCTTTACCGCTTGGGTGGCTATTGTCGTTGTGATCATTATCATATTTCCTATTTCCTTCCTGAAGGTATCTTCGGTTGGCCTAGGCCATGAATAATCAAATGCAATTCCTGCTGTTTCTACTGAACACCCCCATGAGAACATGCTGCCGTCGTTTTAAACCCGTATTCTTCGTTTCTTTAGTCTTAAATTTGTCCAGATCCTTTATCTATCATATGCGGCCAAAACCGTGTCTTTTCCCTGCGTTTTTAGAAATTTCAATATATTGGGAGCACTAACGCAATGCCATTCGCAATGGAGAAAGAGAACAATGTACGGACTTTGAACATTATCAGGAAAAGGGAAAGCTCCAAAAGTGGTTTGTAATGTTAGGCCAAGGACTAATTCGTAGCCTCTTGTCTTATACGCCAAGTTCATGTATGTATCTACAGTCACAACCAGAAGAGTAGTAAGTCTATGCGCCTTTTGTTTCGCTTTCTTCCAAGCTGTAGTCACCATTATAGAGCCCCTCAAGAGCCTTGCGCCCTTCTTCAGTCAACTCTGGTTTGCCCAAGGGAGTAACAGCATCCGTGAAAAACCGAGGCTGCCATATCTCATTCTTTGCCTGTCTCTCAGCAGCCCTTTGCCGCTGCCTCTCTTCAATATATTGTTTGCACTTGGTGGCCTGGCTATACTTTTTATCTACTATCGCCTCGGTGACATTGGACCAAAATTTGCGAGACTCGTTGGACAGTTGACTCTCCTCGGGAGGCACACTCTTGGAGGCTGGAAAAAGAGGGGTGATATCGATTAGAAGTTGAGGCTCATCTGTCCCAGCCAAGGTGAAATAGACTTGTCCGTGCCATGACCCGCTAATTCTGGCAAGAATATCGCTCTCTGGCACATCTTTGATTTTCGTCGTGGTATCCATGTCGGGATCATATCGAAAGACCACTCCTTCGACCCTGTGTTGAGCTCGGCCAATCCAGCCATCTTCCAGGTATTGTAAAATCACCTTGATGCGTGTTTTGGGGCAAGTTACGTAGCACGTATCTGATACGGTTATGGCCAGTGCACCCCTCAACAAGCCACCCAGATGGGCCGCAGGGTGGGTCAGCTGATACTCCTCATTATCTCTTGGGGCGATTCTGACGAAGATCCCCAGGTTATGCTGACCGGGAGCAACGCGAATGCTTGTGCCCGTAAATTTGGCACTAATTTGGTCAAAGCCACGTGCTGAAACCCCTCGTTGCGGGCAGTCGATGAAAAATGCGGATACTGGTGGATGGTGAGATGTCTGTTCAGTCAGGTAGCATACCTTGACCGCTTGAACATTGCCCTTCGCGGTGCAGGTTCCATTATTTAACCCTGGCTTAGAGTGTACCTGTACTTCTGGGAGGGCAGCATCGACCTCCCAAGTAGCCTGAAATTTTACGTGTTTAAGTTAGTCATTATTCGAGCAGAAATGTGAGAACTCGTGAGGGAGTCAAACTCACTCTGAAAAATTCACCCAGGGTAGAATTATACGGCTTGCACGGCTTGCCCTTGATGTATTTCTATGATAACTTTTAGTGTACTGGTCTCTCGGAAAAAACCTGAAGTACCGCAGAGGAAAGTACCAAGTCCTTTGTGAACCAAAACCTTAATATCTCAAGCGTCCGACCCAGCGGATCGTCTGATTGACCAATGCTGTGACTCTCCCGTCAGAAAACGAGCCCTGGTGAAAGATAGGCTACCTTGCTGACCTTGCAAAGGTCTCTGGTCTGTCCAAGTAGTTCCAATATTCTGCCAGATCCCCGACTCAGTCAGTGATCACATCGTTAAGTAGGCACCGGTGTAGCCTCATGGAGACAACCTACCTAAATTGGGCGTCGGCTCTAGAAGATGGGCAGGTAACGAAAAGCGAACAGATGCGATATCAGCGACCCCAACAAACCTATAGAGTCACAGCGCCATCGAATCAGTATGGATCGACCAGAATATGAGAATCGAGATCGCTGTCTATACATACTTCTTCAAAATAGAGAGGAAGGTCTTTAACTTGGAAGAGTCGTCAGGAGTCTTTTCGGGGGCATCCGATGCTGTCGCGGGAGACATAGCGAGGTCTGGTTTTTAGATGGTTAAAGTAGAGAGAATTTGTGAGTAGGTAAATATATGGCTGGGGAGAGCAGCGATATTAAAAAAAAAAAAAAAAAAAAAAAAAAAA